TTCTGCATTTACGCTCCCCATTGAGACCAAAGGACGGGCGCTACAGGTAAGTGTGTTAACAAAACCGTTAGGGCATTTCAAGAAATCCCTGGCTCTTCAGTTTTTTCTGCAGACAGTTTTGAGCATGAAAGTAATTTACCTCAAATGTCTAAGAAACAGAGACAAGGGGTATGACAACTGTTGAAATCTGAACACACTCCCCATCCTGGAGGAGCGGACAGTTGTAAATGCTGGTCCAGTTTGAGCATGCACCTCCCTGCATGGTTAGATGTAGGGAAGAGTGGTACAGGGGGTGGCTCCCAGCTTTTCTGCCTTCAACACAAAGCTTGATAGTCGTGTACCACGCCAGTGTGTGAACTGTGGGGATTGGCACTGGGCTGAACTGGCGAAAGTGTCCGAATGGGACTCGCTGTCTCTTCCATGTCCTACTCATAAGCAGACACAGGAAGCCTCCAGGGAGTGAAGAAAAAAAAATGTGTATCTGTCTCCAAGCATTTTCTCTAGTTTCAGTAATATGCACCATAACCAGACTACTTATGTAATTATGAAAGGACTTAGTTTTCTTACTTGGAAAGTAAGAAAGTGGAAACACTGAAGGTGGGTGCCAGAGACTGAATCGCATGATGCACATACTTCCTTTTAATCTCCAAAGGATTATCATCCTTTACCAACCCAGAGAATGTAGGCACAGGAAGCTGAGGATCTTGTCTACAAACTAGCATGGAGTAGGACTGGAACTTGAACGAGGCTGCAAAATTAAGTGATACTATCTTAGCCTAATTTTCTATTCCCCTCATTTTTCATGATCTTATTATTTTTAAGTAAGAATACATATAAAAAACCTGGGCTTAGTATCTAATTTGCTCATGGATTTCTTGACAAGTCATATTCACCTACAAAGGACTAAGTCTTCTGCTATGGATTAGGACTTGGATTTCAATGCTAGATTCAAAGATTTGCATACTTATTAAAAACCTTTAAAATATCATTTTCTTAGAACAGGTTACAAATCTCGGGAAAAAATCTGAACTCTGCTTCCAATACATGCAAATGCATGGACAACATCCCCCAGTGTTTACTGGATGAACTGATCTGGTATTTAAATAGTTGTGTCAATTCTTAAGAAATTCATTTTAAAGGACCTGGTAAATCAAAAAAACACTAAAGGTGTATCTATAATGTTTTTTCTAATGCTGTTAGACTAGAAACTTAATTGTTTAAAAAAACTTTCTACTGCTAGTGTCAGATGACACTGACTAACTCATTTCTTTGTCTAGCAAATTAAATGAAGACCTGTACAGCCATGTCAGTGAGAAGACAAGTACATCTTAAACAACTTGTTTGCTACAAGAGAATAAACAGATTATGAATAAACTAAATGTACATTGACCTTACTCATTTAAGGTGGCGGAGAGGGAACTCCCATTAGCTGGTTCACCCCCTAAATGCCAACAGTGGCTGCGGTTGGGACTGTTTCCAAGAAGGTGGTAGGAGCCAGGACAAAGTATCTACCCACTAAAACTGATTGGCACTGTGGTGCAGGAGGTTAAGCTGCACCTGCAGCACAAGCACCTCATGCCGGCTGCTGCCCTTCTTGTGCAGGAATCAGCTCGTGCGCCTGGGAAAGCAAAAGCTGCCCCGTATCCTTGAGTCCCTGCCACCCACATGGGAGACGGTCAACAAACTCTTGGCTTCTGCCAGCCATCTGGTGAGTGAACCAGCAAATAGCAGATCCTGTTTAAATCTGTGAGGAGAAGGGAGGATGAATGGGAAAAGGTGGGGGGAGGATAGCCTTTCATCCTGGATCATCTGTTAGTCTTAGAGACCTCACAAGAAAATAGCAAATAAATGTGTTCTAACTACAGCAAGATCTTGGGCTGGTATTATTAGGCCTTCCTAAAAACTAGAATAGTCATTTAGTTCAAATTAGCATATTTAAACTATGCCATAATTTTATAAAAACTGGTGATTCACAAAAACATGCTTAAGTAGTATGGTCATTCAAATCTGTTTATTTGAAAGGCAAAGATCAATCCTCCAACCAGAGGTTTACTCCCGACATGGCCACAATGGCCAGGGCCAGGCCAGGCTGAAGGCTGGGGCTTCCTCTGGGGCTTTCCACGTAGGTGCAGGGGCCCAACCAAGGACCCGGGCCATCTGCTCTGCTGCCCACCAGGAGCACTGGCAGGGAGCTGGATCAGAATACTATACATACATATACATTCACACCTAGAGCACTTGTCTTCTACCAGATACAAGGAATTTGCTCTAAATAGTTCTGTTATATTGCTGGGGAAAAGAGCAGTTTTGAGTGAGCTGATGCAGAGTCTACAAACAAGGAAGCCTGACTGCAGTGAGCTCTGTGGTCTCTCACAGTTTTTGGTCTTGAGCTTTAAAAAACATCACTAGGCTTCAGGCTATAAATAGCTTATAGCAGCTATAATTAAAGACGGTTCTTAAGATTCAGGAAAAAATATTTCACATGTGAAGATGTCTCAGCTATACTTGTAGGGCTAGCTAAATAACCCACTACAAATCTTTTCTAAAAATCTCAATTTATAATCAGCAGTGACTGAAAACCAGTAAACCAAGGACCAAGGAGAGACTCCAACATGTGCCCAAAGGTTTCAGAACTGTATGGGGGTCTTACAGCACTGTCTGGCAACTAGGCTTCTGAGAAGACATTAACCTATAGCAAACTACTCATTCAGTGACAAATCCATGAGGACACTATTAAGTATGCTAAGGATCATACACTACTAGTAGAAATTCAAGTCACTTACCTGTGAAACTTCTTGGAGTACCTTCACTGACCACTAAAAAAACCAAGAGGTGATACTGGTGAGATATTAAAAAGGGTCATGTACTGGAGTGTCTGTACAACTGTGTTTTGCTTTATACAATAAAGGTTAATTTATCTAAATAATTACATGAGAATTTAACAGTTATAACCTGTAGTCTATAATGGCAAAGACATCTTCTGAAAAATGGAATGAATGCCAAAACCTTTATTTGGGACTGTTTGCACACGAGGCTGTCTTAGCACTCACTTGTAGATGCTTACAATCGCATCCCATCACTGCGGAAGTCTGGCCTGGAACACCTGGGTTTTCTCTGGGTAAATGCCAGTCCTCCAGACAGTACATTCTCATGCCAGGGGTGAGAAATGTGCTCCTGGGGTTGATCCGTATATTCCATCCTCTCCACACTGCCCACCGTGACAAGGCTAACAACTTGGCTTCTGCAGTGGGAAGAGTCCTGCATTTTCTGGCTCGCTTGTCTTGGGGAAAAGGCATGGGAAGATGGGAAGGGCAATATACATCTTCAACGATCCTGACATACAGAAGAGAATGTTGAAATCATCTTTCTTCCACAGCACATTTCAAAATGTGGGAAGACGCTTTTGCTAAATGTTTGACTTAATTCTATTTAAAAGCTAATTTTGCAATCAAACAGGAGAAGGTATATTAAAAATGCAATAATGTTATTAAAAAATAGTTGTGATGAGACTCAATTAACACAGGGAAACTTGGCAAACAAACATGTTAATGGTCCCCAGTCTGTCTTCCTGTAAACAACTCCAGCTAGGATTTTTCATGCTATCTTTGGTTTTCATACACGCAAGAGGCTAGGATCCTTCAAGGAGAAAAATCATCAGTTGAAGATACCCCCACACCCCCTTTTTTCCCATCTTTTAAAGCTGGTGAAATACATTAGATTAAAAAATTTTCCTGTTACATTTGTTTATAGAAGATTCTCCCTTTATGTATCAAAGTTACACTCATAGGAACATACAGAGGTAGTAAGGAAGGGCGGCTAGTTTCAAATGACTGACACAATATTCTGGAATTACTGAAATTCTTACGGTATTCACAGTAAAAGTCCAAAGTTTACTTTTATTAAAATGAAGATCACCAGTCTGACCCCCAAAGTAAAACAACAGACTGTTGCCTCGATGTCCTTCACAATACGTTAAGCCTTCATGGACAAAGAAGTTGGTGATCCAACTGGCTAGTGCACTCACTCTGGGACATGAGTTCCCAATGTATATCAGGACTTATTGTACCTTCATCTTGGATGGGAACTTACATCAGCTACTGATTTCCACAGGTTATAAAATACTTCTAAAAATATGTGGTTATTTAAAAAGAGCTCAATTTCATAAGAAATTAGAGAACTGAACTCATGGTCATGTCAATAATCTTAATGGCCAATTAGATCACGCAACTCCTCTCATAACAATCACAAATAGAAAATGTAGCTCAATTTAAACTTAAAAATCTTTTGTTCACACACAGCAACTGATTCTTGGGATCCACAATTTGGGTGAGGTCTCAGCAAAAGTTTCTTATCTCTCCATGGAAGTTTTACATATAGTAACAACACAGGACGTTCAAGGCTAAACTCACAGATGAGCCTGCATGAACACTCCCTTTGCATTCCTTAGTTAAAATCTTTGTGGCAGTAAACCACAAAGCCTCTTGTTTAGCTTGGGGAGGGAGAGCTACCAAAGGAAGAGCAGAAACTCAGAAGAAAATGAATGGATGGCCAGTTACTGATATTAAACTACTTTTATTATGGTTTCAGTCTGTTTGTATTTCTGCCTGTGTCCTTGGGTTCCTTATTGCATTGCCAGAAAGACTGAGGTGTTTGGCATCTAAGAAAACTGTTCAGCTGGAATGAAGTAATCACCCACTTCCACACGGCCTCCTCATTCAAGAGCACTCACCAAAAACATGATCCTATGAATCATGCAGCAACTGCACCAAGGTTTCAGAGGTGAATATTAGGTGTGCAAGCTGAGGTCAAGCCCGCTTCATTCGTACTGATTTTTTGGGACATGCTCTTAATCAGTGTCAAGTACAGTTAGGCTTCTTTTATAACTTATTTGTATTAGAATTCAAGGATTACTTAGCTGGGATTCACCTGGGCACACACACAGGCACTTAATAAAGTTCCAGAATTTAGAGATCGTTACAAGAGGGCATTTGGAGAGAAAAAACAGAGCAATTTACTTTTAATAGGATTATATTACATATGACTACAAGAAAGATGGCTTTTAACTGTATTCACTTAGCAAACTCTAAGGGTAAAACAAATACTGTTTCAGAAAAGAAAGTGGCACGAAGATAATACTGATAATTCAGGTTAGTAGACATTCTGGCTCAGACACATTCAGGAAATTTTTTTCTCTCCTAATCCCAACTGCCCTTTGTGGATTTTCAAAATAATTTACCCATATTGCTTGGTTTTAATTCAGGAGAAAAACATGGAAGAACAAACAATGCCAACAATAAACTTATTAGCGGAAGTGCCATGAATGCTGTACTGAAATGCTACAAGAAAAAAAAAAAAAAAAAAAATTTGTTCAAACCATCTTTAGAAAATAAATGTCAAATGCATATTCAAGATGGTACTCCTCACAGTGTAACACATACTTGGGAAAGTAAGTCTTTTTAACAACTAATACATAAGTGACATTATGCACAAGATCTAAGTATATACAAAAATAGAAATATTGCTAGTAAATTAGCTTAGCAATACCTGAAACCCAATGAATTATCTGCAAAATATTTTCAAACATGTTCATTTCAGAAGCAATGCCCTTTGGATAAAAGCAAGTCCTGTGCTTCTTTCAAGGGAGGTGATAAATTCAGAAGAGCATTCAAGTCAGCTGTATTTTTACTCTATATTTCCTCCAGTCAAATATTAACTATAATGTTTTATTACTAAGTGTATACTTTGCCAAACTAAAAATACTCATGTGTATATTGTCAAATTTTGAATTATTATGACAATTTTCTTCTATAATTTAGTTTCCTCCTTTGACAGTTCATCAGATCCTAGAAAACAGAGTACATGAAAGAAATAAATGTATGTCAGTTAAACCAGCTGAGCCTGGCCCATTAATATGCTGTTCTGAGGTGATAAGATTCTGTATCAGGAAAATGGAATTCAAAATAAAGTCAGATTAAACATTAAGGTTCAGACTGTGATTCTTAAAAAAAAATAAAAAATAAAAATAAAGAGAGTGGGGTGGGAGATGGATACCTCAGGAAATAAAATGACAATTTCATTATAATTTCCCCTAATTGTCTGCTCCCAAATCCTACAACACATTTTCATTCCAAACATCAAGACAGATGAAAACCACAAAAATTAGTCCCCTTCACAGGAACTTATATTTAATGCCCAGTAAGATATGTTGATCAAACTTCACATCACATACGGTGCACATTGTATTTTGAGAATTACTGAAAGCCATACTGCCAACAATGAGGTTTGTTTTAAAAGGATCACACCTGCGCAGCTAACACAAACAACAAACCACACAGACAACACAGCTAAACCCAACATGTGCACACTTAACTTCCCTCAGTAGAAGCTGAAGAAAATCTAATCTAGAAATGTATGTAAAAAGGCCTTGAAGATCTGCTATAACAAACACCTCTATAGACACGATAAAAACAGAAATCAAACACTGGATTTCCTGATCTTTTAATACAATTGCCATCTTACATGGACATACTAGTAGGTGCCATCTTAACAGCATCTAATCTACCCTTCTGTTGTACCAGTCACCATCCTGGATAGAACGCTTTAGCACTCATGAAAGTTCATGAGTACTGCTCTTACGAAAAGTATGTTTAACTCGTGTTTGGGCCATAACTCATGGGCAGTGGTATTAATTCGCTAAACATGGACTAACGCACACATTCAAACCACATTAAATTTTCAACACAGAGTCCATACAAAGTCTATTTCCTTTCTATAGTAGCTATCACTCCAGACGGAGGCTCTGAAATCCGTGAAATGAGAATGTCTTATTGTTGAGCTTCCTTCCTTGCTAGAACATTTTCTTCCTTCCATGCCATCCATTTCCTTCTTTTTAATAAGAGGTTAGAAGAAATAGGTTATTAAGGAAATCAAAGTCTACCAAACATCAAAGACAAGAGATCAGAGAGGTCACAAACTCCTGTTTGTATTGATGTTCAATTACTGACAAGTGTTTTGGAAAACAAATCTTAAAACCAGCCACATGCCAATGCATGGTGCGGCTTATTTAAGCATCTGGCGTTCCTCGATACTTTTGAGGCGCTTCTTCCGGGGCTGCACAAAGTCATCGTCCGAATCATCACTAAATTTATTATCTTCAGATTCATTCCTGAATTCTACCTTAGGAAATCTTTTTTCTGGATAAAGGTTCTTTAGAAGTTCTTCAAAATAGCTTTCAAGTTTTATACCAGCATTGGCCACTTCTGAATCAGGCTGTTGGATGAAAATAAGAAGAATTAAAAAGTAAAGACTGACATTTTAGACAGTTAATAAAAGTAACAAATAACTCGCAGTTCTGATCACTTTAGATGGAAGATGCTTGTGCACAGTCATAAATGTAAACTACATATTAGCCTGGGGCTGGACAAAGTCTACAGAAAGTCAGCTGAAGAGGAAATCAAAGACCTGACTTATCTGGATTGTTCTAACACGGGGAGGTAATGGAAAGACTGAATCACCAAAGACAGATCAATGAGATGCTGCCAACACAGGTTCACCTAAGAGAAAAGCGCACTCCAGAATGAGTAACAAACCCAGAACACAAACCATGAACAAGAGCTGTGTCTGACAGATGAGACAAACTTAAAGAATCTTGAAGTTAGAGCTGTATGACCACAATCAGTAATTCTTGATTAACATGAAAAAGAAGTCTACAAGTGCCATGTGTCAAAAATAAAGCTGAGAATGAGAAAAAAAATAATTACATGTCTGATAAAAATATTTTATATATTATATATTTCATATATTTTATAAACTAACTATCAGCTAGCTCTAATTTATATTTTTACTCAGCATATAAAAAAATCTTTGAAGATAAATATAGACAGTTTTCCTAACTACCTCTTTCATTTCCAGAGCCACATTCATTGCTGCAATTTATTCTAATAAGTACAATCATGGTTTCTTCAATTAGTGATAATGTGTGTAAGATTACTTTCACATTGAAATTATAATTGCTGGCCGGCGCTGCGGCTCACTAGGCTAATCCTCCGCCTAGCGGCGCCGGCACACCGGGTTCTAGTCCCGTTCGGGGCGCCGGATTCTGTCCCGGTTGCCCCTCTTCCAGGCCAGCCCTCTGCTGTGGCCAGGGAGTGCAGTGGAGGATGGCCCAGGTGCTTGGGCCCTGCACCCCATGGGAGACCAGGAGAAGCACCTGGCTCCTGGCTCCTGCCATCGGATCAGCGCGGTGCGCCGGCCGCAGCGCGCCGGCCGCGGCAGCCATTGGAGGGTGAACCAACGGCAAAAGGAAGACCTTTCTCTCTCTCTCTCTCTCTCACTGTCCACTCTGCCTGTCAAAAAAAATAAAAAAAAATAAAAAATAAAAAAAAAAAAAGGAAATTATAATTGCTTTGTTTTCCTCAACTCACCTCATTGAATTCAGCACAGTTTTGAAAGATAAGCCTAAAATCAGCAACAAAATCTTCAGGCTTTGTGTACATGGGATAATCTTCTTGTAGTCTTTTCTTAATGGTTGACAAATCCATTGGGTTTTTAATTATTTTGTAATAATCAGGCACCTTTCAAAATAAATGAAGTGTTATAATACAAATATCTCAATTCTACCTGGTCCTAAACAGATTGTATAGGAAGTGACATTTAATTGTGATTGTTCTCATTGCTTTTCTGGGTATTATTTTGTTATCAGCAAGGAAACCTAAATTCAGCAACATGTAAAAGTGCCTACTGCTTTCCACACATGGGTAAATGGTTTTGTGTGACTTCTTCCAAAATTTTTAATTTTAATTAATTGTAATTCAATGTAACTTGTACACACAACCATAAAACAAAACATGCCCTTCCTCCCCTTCTCCCTCCCTGCAACCCTTCTTCCTTCGATTTTTCTGTTTTTTTTTAGTTTCTGAGATAACAATGTGAATTTACATTACAGTATAAAAAGGCTAATTTTTATGAATTGTTTTATATTTGAGATAGGGAGAGACAAACAAGTACCACCTGTTGTTCACTCCCCAAATGCTTACAATGGCCAGAAGCCAGGAACTCAATTCAAGTTTTGTACAACCAAACACTTAAGCCATCACTGCTGCCCCCCTGGGGCACATACTGTAGCAGGAAGCTGGAACTGGACTCATACCCAGGTCCTTCAACAAAAGATGCAAATGAGGGCTCATCTGTTCCACCAAACACCCATCCTTCAGTTACTTTTTTTTTTTTAAAGATTTATTTGAAAGGCAGAGTTTTTTTTTTTTTTTTTTTTTTTTTTTTTAATTTTTTATTTATTTTTTATTTTTTTTAACTTTTATATAATGAATATAAATTTCCAAAGTACGATTTATGGATTACAATGGCTTCCCCCCCATACTGTCCCTCCCACCCACAACCCTCCCCTTTCCCACTCCCTCTCCCCTTCCATTCACATCAAGATTCATTTTCGATTATCTTAATATACAGAAGATCAGCTTAGTATACATTAAGTAAGGCTTTCAACAGTTTGCTCCCACACAGAAACATAAAGTGAAAAATAATAGATGATTTTTTTTTAATGATGATGAAATCAGATCAGACCTATTGTCATGTTTAATCCCAGTGAGAGTCAAGTTGGGAGTTGATAGTTTCTTTTCTTTTCTTTTTTTTTTTTTTTTTTTTTTTTTTTTTTTTTTTTTTTTACAGAGGATCAGTTTAGTATGCATTAAGTAAAGATTTCAACAGTTTGCACCCCCATAGAAACACAAAGTGAAATATATTATTTGAGTACTCATTATAGCATTAAATCTCAATGCACAGCACATTAAGGACAGAGATCCTACATGAGGAGTAAGTGCACAGTGACTCCTGTTGTTGACTTTACCAATTGACACTCCTGTCTATGGCATCAGTAATCTCCCTATGCTCCAGTCATGAGTTTCTAAGGCTATGGAAGCCCCTTGAGTTCTCCGACTCTTATCTTGTTTAGACAAGGTCATAGTCAAAGTGGAGGTTCTCTCCTCCCTTCAGAGAAAGGTACCTCCTTCTTTGAAGACCTGTTCTTTCCACTGAGATCTCACTCACAGAGATCTTTTGCCAGAGTGTCTTGGCTTTCCATGCCTGAAATACTCTCATGGGCTTTTCAGCCAGATCCGAGTGCCTTTAGGGCTGATTCTGAGGCCAGAGTGCTATTTAGGGCATCTGCCATTCTATGAGTCTGCTGAGTATCTCACTTCCCATGTTGGATCACTCTCCCCTTTATTTATTCTATCGGTTAGTGTTAGCAGGTACTAGACTTGCTTATGTGCTCCCTTTGACTCTTAGTCCTTTCATTATGATCAATTGCGAACTGAAATTGATCACTTGGACTAGTGAGATGGCATTGGTACATGCCACCTTGATGGGATTAAATTGGAATCCCCTGGTATGTTTCTAACTCTACCATTTGGGGCAAGTCAGCTTGAGCATGTCCCAAATTATATATCTCTTCCCTCTCTTATTCCTACTCTTATGTTTAACAGGGATCACAATTCAGTTAAATTTCAACACTTAAGAATAACTGTGTATTAATTACAGAATTAAATCAGTCATATTAAGTAGAACAGACAAAAAAACTACTAAGAGGGATAATGTATTAAGTTGTTCATTAACAGTCAGGGCTATGCTGATCAAGTCACCGTTTCCCATAGTGTCCCTTTCACTTCAACAAGTTTCCTTTTTGGTGTTCAGTCAGTTGTCACCGATCAGGGAGAACATATGGTATTTGTCCCTTTGGGACTGGCTTATTTCACTCAGCATGATGTGTTCCAGATTCCTCCATTTTGTTGCAAATGACTGGATTTCGTTGTTTCTTACTGCAGTATAGTATTCTAAAGAGTACATATCCCATAATTTCTTTATCCAGTCTACCGTTGATGGGCATTTAGGTTGGTTCCAGGTCTTAGCTATTGTGAATTGTGCTGCAATAAACATTAGGCTGCAGACCGCTTTTTTGTTTGCCAATTTAAATTCCTTTGGGTAAATTCCAAGGAGTGGGATGGCTGGGTCGAACGGTAGGGTTATCTTCAGGTTTCTGAGGAATCTCCAGACTGATTTCCATAGTGGCTTGACCAGTTTGCATTCCCACCAACAGTGGGTTAGTGTCCCTTTTTCCCCACATCCTCGCCAGCATCTGTTGTTGGTAGATTTCTGAATGTGAGCCATTCTAACCGGGGTGAGGTGGAACCTCATTGTGGTTTTGATTTGCATTTCTCTGATTGCTAATGACCTTGAACATTTTTTCATGTGCCTGTTGGCCATTTGGATTTCCTCTTTTGAAAAATGTCTATTGAGGTCCTTGGCCCATCTCTTAATTGGGTTGTTGGTTTTGTTTTTGTGGAGTTTCTTGATCTCTTTGTAGATTCTGGTTATTAACCCTTTATCTGTTGCATAGTTTGCAAATATTTTTTCCCATTCTGACGGTTGTCTCTTCACTCTCCTGACTGTTTCTTTTGCAGTACAGAAACTTCTCAATTTGATGCAATCCCAATAGTTAATTTTGGCTTTGACTGCCTGTGCCTCCCGGGTCTTTTCCAGAAACTCTTTGCCTGTGCCAATATCTTGAAGGGTTTCTCCAATGTTCTCTAGTAACTTGATGGTGTCAGGTCGTAGATTTAGGTCTTTAATCCATGTTGAGTGGATTTTTGTGTAAGGTGTAAGGTAGGGGTCTTGCTTCATGATTCTGCACGTGGAAATCCAATTTTCCCAGCACCATTTATTGAATAGACTGTCCTTGCTCAAGGAATTAGTTTTAGATCCTTGATCAAATATAAGTTGGCTGTAGATGTTTGGGTTGATTTCTGGTGTTTCAATTCTGTTCCATTGGTCTATCCATCTGTTTCTGTACCAGTACCATGCTGTTTTGATTACAACTGCCCTGTAGTATGTCCTGAAATCTGGTATTGTGATGCCTCCGGCTTTGTTTTTGTTGTACAAGATTGCTTTAGCTATTCGAGGTCTCTTGTGCCTCCATATAAATTTCAGCACCAATTTTTCCAGATCTGAGAAGAAGGTCTTCGGTATCTTGATTGGTATTGCATTGAATCTATAAATTGCTTTTGGGAGAATGGACATTTTGATGATATTGATTCTTCCAATCCATGAGCATGGAAGATTTTTCCATTTCTTGGTATCCTCTTCTATTTCTTTCTTTAAGGTTTTGTAATTTTCATCGTAGAGATCTTTAACGTCCTTGGTTAAGTTTATTCCAAGGTATTTGATTGTTTTTGTAGCTATTGTGAATGGGATTGATCTTAGAAGTTCTTCCTCAGCCATGGCATTGTCTGTGTATACAAAGGCTGTTGATTTTTGTGCATTGATTTTATACCCTGCTACTTTGCCAAACTCTTCTATGAGTTCCAATAGTCTCTTGGTAGAGTTCTTTGGGTCCCCTAAATAAAGAATCATGTCATCTGCAAAGAGGGATAGTTTGAGTTCTTCCTTCCCAATTTGTATCCCTTTAATTTCTTTTTCTTGCCTAATAGCTCTGGCTAGAACCTCCAGAACTATATTGAATAGCAGTGGTGAGAGTGGACATCCCTGTCTGGTCCCAGATCTCAGTGGAAATGCTTCCAACTTTTCCCCATTCAATAGGATGTTGGCTGTGGGTTTTTCATAGATTGCTTTGATTGTATTGAGGAATGTTCCTTCCAAACCCAGTTTGCTTAGAGTTTTCATCATGAACGGGTGTTGTATTTTATCAAATGCTTTCTCGGCATCTATTGAGAGAATCATATGGTTTTTCTTCTGCAGTCTGTTAATGTGGTGTATCACATTGATTGTCTTGCGCACATTAAACCATCCCTGCATACCAGGGATAAATCCCACTTGGTCTGGGTGGATGATCTTTCTGATGTGTTGTTGCATTCTATTGGCGAGAATTTTATTGAGGATTTTTGCATCTATGTTCATCAGGGATATTGGTCTGTAATTCTCTTTCAGTGCTGTATCTTTTCCCGGCTTAGGAATTAAGGTGATGCTGGCTTCATAGAAAGAATTTGGGAGGATTCCCTCTTCTTCAATTGTTCTGAATAGTTTGAGAAGAATTGGAGTTAGTTCTTCTTTAAATGTCTGGTAGAATTCAGCAGTGAATCCATCTGGTCCTGGGCTTTTCTTTGTTGGGAGGGCCTTTATTACTGTTTCAATTAGAGTTACCGAGAGGGGGAAAGACAGACGGAGAGACAGACAAACACAGGTATTCCATCCAATGGTTTACTGCCCAGATGGCCACAATGGCTGGAGCTGACCTGAAGCCAGGAGCTTCGTCCAGGTCTCCCATACAGGTGCAGGGACCCATGGATTTGAGCTACCTTCCACTGCTTTCCCAGGCCATAGCAGGGAGTTGGATCGGAAGTGGAGCAGCCGGGACTCGAACTGGCGCCCATATGGGATGCTGGCACTGCAGGCAGTGGATTTACCCACTATGCCACAGTGCCAGCCCCAGTTACTTTCAGTGAGAAGTAGTCCCACTTACATGTACTGTTTCCCTCTTCATCATGAAACAAAAAGTAAATTCCTAGAAAAAGAGTATGACTTCTAATAGGATTTGACATGCTTTTGCTGCTTATATTATAAAATGTGGTGAATAAGAGTTTTGAACCTTGAGTTTGAGAACTAGTTCTACTACTCAATAGCATATCCTGGGAAAATTACTTAATCCTGGGAAACTTTAGTCTCTTCATATTCCAAATAGAGAATCCTGGCAACTCAATGGATTTTGTAAATAGTATGTAAGATAATATACATCAAGAAAAAGGGGCTTATTTAAGGTGTACAAATTTCATTTATACAGATTTAGGAAGACAGTGATACTTTTCACCCCCCCCCCCCACGCACCTGCTCCCAACTCTTCTATTCCCTCTCAATTTGTACAATGTTTTAACACCAAATGTTAACAGTAGGCCAAGATCATATTAGTGCCAATTCCAGCTTACAGCTGTAAAGTCTGTACATCTATCTTTCATCTGACTACCTTACACTACATCTTTTGTCTGCGAAAGGCCTTTTTACTCAAATATTTTCTTCCTAACTCAGGTCCTCAAAACCTGTTCTCAAGGAAAGCAGCTCATGGTCAGCCTGCATCATCATCAGCTGTATATAGTTACTAGGTTTTTTCAACTCTGCATTAAATTTTCTAATCAAACGGGGGGCCAGTGCTGTGACAAAGCAGGTAAAACCGATGCCTGCAGTAGCAGCATCTCATACGAGTTTTGGTTCAAGAAGGCCTGGCTGCCCCACTTCCAATTCAGCTCTCTGAATTCTGCTGGTTCAAGTCCTGGCTGCTCCACTTCTGATCCAGCTCTCTGCTATGGCCTAGGAAAGCAGTAGAAGATGGCCCAGGTGCTTGGGCCCCTGCACCCACGTGGGAGACCCAGAAGAAGCTCCTGGCATCCGATCAGCCTACTTCTGGCTGTTGCGGGCCATCTGAGGAGTGAACCAGCAAATGGAACATCTCTGTTTCTCTCCACCTCTCTGAAAGTAGACCTTTCAATAAAATATTTTTTTAAAAAACTTATCAACCTGGACAGAAGACTAAAATGTCTTGGACAGTAAATAAGCCTTGTCTAGCACCATGTGAGGATCTAAAGTCATATTAGATGTCCAACATGAACCCGTTTGCTGTGAATGGTGAACATACACACTCCTTGCTCATCTTTTTCCTGTTATTAAAGCACTTACTGGAACTTGTGTTATGGCTTCGGGGGCAAAGCCGCCACCGGCAGTGCCGACATCTGCAGTGCTAGTGTCCTATGAGAGCCAGTTTAAGTTCCAGCTGCTCCACTTATGATCCAAGTTTCTGCTAATACCCCTGGGAAAGCAGTGGGAGATGGCCATGGTAGCGGAATGGCCCAGCTCTGGCCGTTGCAGCCATTTGGAGTGTCAGACAGCGGATGGAATCTCTCTCATTCTAACTGTGCCTTTCAAATAAATAAATTAAAAAAAAACAAAAACAAAAACAAAAACAAAAACCAGGCTACTCATTACTTGAAATATGGACCTACAATTCAAATATGTACAGAAAATTTGGGGGTGTGGTTTAATCTCCAACAGAAGTCTTTTCCAACAGTTTAGGATCTATACTATCCATATCAGGAGGGAGATGACTGACAAATCACTCCAGAGAATGGTAGGTAAAGTAAGTGAGATGAGAGAACACTTGAGATTTTAAGTATAGTTTTTTCCTGTTTGCTAAAAGTGTAGTATGTATTAATCAACTGTAAGATTTGAACTAGATACAAGAAACTATTGACAAATGGTATGGAATGCTAAGAGTTCAGATGAGCCACTGTGTCAACATGCACAAGATGACATTACTACTTACAGTTAAAGGAACAGGATCTTGAAAAGCAAGACTCATTTCATGGCAATAAAGAAATAAAAGTAGGCGTTCACACTTCTAAGGAAAAATAAAAATACAAAGTTAAGTCACAAATTATTTTCAACAACAATCTCACAGGTCTCAAAATACCAAAATAAGCATTAAAACCAGATGAATGGATGGAAAACACTGAACCTGGAATTTTCTATTTCCCAATTACCAACTGAATTCTACTTCTTAACAATTTAAGACTAATTTCTGCCATTAAATTAACAAAACTACATTGCTCAGAATCTATTTGAAGTCCTTTGTGCACTGTTCTGTGAATCCCTGAAGCAGTATCTATGAAGACACAGACGTGGAGACACCTCTGGTGTGTCTGGTGCTGAGACCCTTCGCTGCAGGTAGAACACACTCGGCTGACATCAGGAGACCCTGTGGGACATCACCAGGCAGCATTTATGCCCCTCCTGCATAGCGACACTCACACTGATCGTTCAGCTTAGGGACTTAGCAAAGGAGGTCTTTAGTCAAAGTCTTGACCTAGCAGGGTGAATTGCAGTTAAATCCATCAGTGGACTTTGATGTGTAAACCTGGTATTACTTGGTTGAAGACTAGCATTTTTTCCCCAGGAAAGGTGAACAGAAAAACCTATCTCATCAGTACTACTTCACAACAAATTCAGAGGAAGAAAACGTACTGATGGTGGAAATAAACTAGCTCAAGGTAGACTAAGTGTGAAAACCCAGGCTACATAAAGAATACATATTCTAACTTGTCCAGTTTAAAAACAGAAAACACCTCTCAAAGCTCACTACTTAGTGCCTGGCTCAGGGCCCTGAGGCGTCAGTGGACCCCGCGAGGATGAGCGGCAGCACCAGAGGGAGGAGGATGAGGCTAACCAGCGGGAGCTGCTCCGTGTGCTCCACGTGCACTGCATGAACGCACACACGCCATCTACTGGACCTGGAGCTCTCATTCAGGAACTGAAGCTGATGGCAGAGAATCTGCTCATGGTGGCCATCCGTACCCTTTGTCTGGAATCTCTGAATTTCTGAACTAGGAGAAACATCCAAACTTAAAGAAGCAGTTGTTTTAGGAAGCACTGACTTCCTAGAAGATGATATAGAAGAACTGGGAAAAGAATACAAAGGCAATGCTTAGCATTTGATAAATAAAAACTGCGGTTACTTCTCTTCGGCTTTATCCCAGATTCTTTGTGAGAAAGATTCCTCGCTGGATCAAGCGACTTGCCTACTTCAGCTCCTGCATACCCTTTCTACAGAGTTGCCTCCCAAGGCGTGGCTCACGCCAACAGCCCTGAAGTGCAGGGTCAGCCAGGAGCTGCCGGCTGACCAGGAGGAAGCAGAGGGTGGCGCCGCATCCACTTCCATGGCAGGTAGTGCAGCAGGCCCCAGACCTGGGAGCCACTCTAAGCTACAAAGACTGTCTCCAAAGTCACACCTTCAGAACTGTCTCTGGCGGCTGATTATCACTATGGAAAAGTAACCAGAGTAAGCGTCCTCTGGATATTTTGGATGCAAAGATAGCTCTCCCCCAAATCCCAGTTTATCAGCTCAGAATTATATCTGGCCCAGGAAGGAGGACTTTGTATGAAGCTGCCCACTTGTAAATTTGGATTTACTTCTGTTTTATTCGACCTCTGTTAAGTTACGTTTACGGTATTTTGTATCGCTGCATACAAATCTTGCATGGACTCCTGCCACCGTGAGAGAAGAAAATCTTCATGTCTTCGAAAGTTAGGCAGGTAATCTGACAGCTGCGCACTGTACTCACAGTTATAGTCTGCATTACCTGGTGAAGGACTGTCTGTTGGGTTTGTCTATTTTGTTCACACTGTGGGCACCAGGATGCGAGGTGAGGGAGCATGCGCGGCCCAGACCCGAGCCGGAGCCCAGTCCCTTCCCACTCCCTCCCACTGTGCACAACACACTCCTGAGGTGCCCACGGAGGGGTTGCTTCTATCCTAAATCCCCGTCCGCCTAGGCAAGGAGGCTGCTTGGATGCCTCGGGTTCTATACTTAAGATGTTTTTCCCAAGATATTCCTGTAGGAACTGAGGAGCGTTTCTGCACGTTTGGGGAGGAACTTCATTTGTGTTCTGATACATACTTCTTTCCTCCCTGCACAAGGTTTTGTTGGTGGAGTAGGGAAACCCCAAGTGCAGCCTTCGGAGTAGCAGTGTCAGTTGGTATTCCACTGCTTTTTAACTATTCAGGCTACCTTTTTATACTAGACCTTGCAAACTAGTCCAAAGTAGCATATCCCAGAAAGGTCATTCTTTGATATTTCCTACTGTTTATGTACCTTATCAGAAACAATCTGTCAGAGGTTATTAATTTATTGTGGGAGTAGTCTCATAATAGAATGTCTATCTCATTGACTTCTAATTCAAAAAGCCTATTTTGTGTCTTAGTTTTAGAGTTATTTACATTTATTTAAACTTTTAGATTGGATTGTTTGCTATTATTCTGTGGGCAGATTCATATCTTTGAATAAACTATATTTTTAACTGTTCCATACAAAAAAGAAAAAAAAGAAATGCCAAAGACTTACCCTTTTATCTACTGGGGTTAGTTTCACGAGGCCGTCAGCTTTCCGTTTTTCTGAGCTGTGACTCCGAGCATCACAATCATATTCGACTTCTGGTTTTGATAAGTCTCGGCAGAAAGTACAAATCCACTCTCCACTGTTGGGCGACAATGTACTTTTGAGCTGCTAAGGCATCAGGTCTCTTTCACCACGTCCCTTTCCTACTTCTAGCATGCCATCGAGATAGAGAATTATTTGTTATCATCAACTTCAATCACTAAGTTTTACCATATATGTACTAGGTGCAAAGCTCCATGCTGAGAAGAGACAGCAGATACATAATGCAAGGGCTGCATGGTTAATACTGAAGTCCAGTTAAGGAGGCACAAAAATACCAATGAAACCTACTATAAATGATAATAGGGCTGATGTGAAGAGAGTAACATTTCTCCTGCTGAAGAATATGAGAAAAAGAAAAGCTCTTTGCATTATTCTGGCAAATCCTAAAAAGTATTGAGAGTGTGACCCAATTTGGTTCACCATTCTCATCACATCATTCCTCAGAAGGGCTTGAGAATCTGAGATTCGTATCATACAGCTCAATGCCTGGCCAATGAAGATGTAGGAAACTGTGGTAGTCGTTACCACTGTTCTTCATGGCAACCCCTTGTAAAAGTTTATTTTAAAAGGTTTGTAGGCCGGTGCCGTGGCTCACTAGGCTAATCCTCCGCCTTGCGGCACCAGCACACCGGGTTCTAGTCCTGGTCGGGGTGCCGGATTCTGTCCCGGTTGCCCCTCTTCCAGGCCAGCTCTCTGCTATGGCCCGGGAGTGCAGTGGAGGATGGCCCAAGCACCTGGTTCCTGGCTTCGGATCAGCGCGATGCGCAGGCCACAGCACGGCGGCCATTGGAGGGTGAACCAATGGCAAAAGGAAGACCTTTCTCTCTGTCTCTCTCTCTCTCACTGTCCACTCTGCCTGTCAAAAAAAAAAAAAAAAAAAAAAACAACAAACTATCTTTCCTTAACCTAGAATCCAGCGCCCCAACCGGGACTAGAACCCGGTGTGCTGGCGCCGCAAGGTGGAGGATTAGCCTAGTGAGCTGCAGCGCCAGCCAGATAGTTTTAAAAAAGGGGAGAGACTGCAAATTCAGGGAAGAGTTATGGAGAAAAAGCAGAGAGAACACCACACAGATTAGAAGGACATGTGGACCAATGTGGAGGGTGTGGATGCGCACGGCTCAGGACACCCACAGCCGAGAGCCTCAGCGCCAGATTTGGAGTGAGGTGAGACCAGACTGCAGCAGCCCAGTCACTGGCGATAAAGCTGCGGCGAGAGCCTGGTGCGAGTGCGGCTTGGAGCCCGGTGGGGGCCAGAGTATCAGCCAACCTAGAGAAAAAAAAGAGGGGGGCACATTTCTTTCTCCCCAAACTCCCAGCAACCACATCCTGTAATGAGCTAAGAGAGGGCAAGTGCCATTTTGGACATACATAACAGCTGCACCAGCTCGTGCCTGATCCCCCAGCAAACAGCTGAGAGGAGATGCCTGCGCCTCACTGGGATAACTGGCAGGGGGCTGGGTGCTTGAGACTGTGGGAGCCTTGTGTGTTGGGACTGTGAAAACACTGTGGCTCAATGAGCCGGTGCAGGGTGTGGCTGGGTCTGTGGGGGTTATGGGGGGTCACTGCTCACACTGAGGACTACACAGATCCTTTGTGTGGTTCCTGTAGCAGCACAGGTGTACATGTACCCACTGGGGCTAGTGTCCAGGCATTGGTTTCCTCTGAGGAGAGGTCAGTGTGAAAATATGTCAACAGGAGCAGAAGAAACCTCACCTCTGATTTAAAAAAAAAAACAAACAAACAAACCCAGATTTCCCACGCTCAATGTGGGTGTCACCTCGGTTACTCCCTTTCCTGAGCACTGAGCAGAACCCCTGGCCACACCCAACACGTGACTCTGGGTATAAACACAACACTAAGCCAGAGGCATTCTCCAAAGATGGAAGCAATCACAGGGGGAAAACAGAGAGAAACACACAACAGGTATCTGCACAAATGCCTGATAATGAGAAACACAGAAATTCAAGCAACAAGGGTAAAGATGACCACATGGTGCCCCCAAAACACTTAAATTAGGGAATCAAGATAAAGAGATTGAAAAAATGCCAGAAAAGGAATTCAAAGAATTAATCGTGGATTATTTAGAAGTAATCAAAGCAAATCCACAAACTAATGAAATCAGTACATGATATGGAAAATTTCTCCCATAATTGAGATCTTGAAGAGAAATCAAAATGAAATATTAGAAATGAGGAATTCAATAGAACACTGGAAACAGAGCACTGGAAAAAAGGCACAGTGAAGCAGAAGAAAGAATATCTGGGCTAGAAGACAAATCTCTGGAAATTATACAGTCAGACCAAAAAGAAGAAGATATCAGAAAACTAAAAACCAGCGCTGGAGATTTACAGACACTATCAGACGACCGAACATACAGGTCTTAAAAGAGTTCCTGACAGCGTGAAAGAGAGAATGGAGTAAAAGGCCTTTTTCATGAAAAATTACAGAGCAGTTCACCAGTTTAGAGAAAGAAATGGATGTTCAAGTAAAGAAAGAACATAGAACAGACATGACCAGAAAAGATCCTCACCACAACACACTGTAGTCAAATGCTCCACAGTAAAACACAAAGATTCCAAAATGTGCACAAGAGAAACGTCAGGTTACTTTAGAGGCTCTCCAATTAGACTCACACTGAACTTCCCATCAGAAACCCTACAGGCTAAGAGAGGATGGCAGTCCGATGTTCAAGTCGTACAGAGAAAACAACTGTCAGTCCAGAATACTGCACCCTGCAAAGCTCCCACTTATGACTGAAGGTGAAATAAAGACCTTCCATAACAACCAGAAATTGAAAGAATGTGTCACCACTAGTCCAGCCTCAATAAAGACGCCTAAGGATGTGCTACCCACAGAAAAATGATCATCACTATGAAAGAAAGTGAAGGCAGCAAATCTGCAAGTACAAAGGAAATCAAAACTGAAAAATAGGAATATTTTTTGAAAAACTGGCAGGGTAAAGTCATTAGTTATCAATAGTCACCTTGAATGGCTTCAAATCTCCAGTTAAAAAAGATACCGACTGGCTGAATGGATTAAAAAACAAAAACCCTCTATTTGCTGCCTACAAGAAACACAGATCACCAACAAAGATAGTCACAGACTGTAAATGAAAGGATGGAAAAGATATTCCATAGTAACAGAAACCAAAAAAGAGCTGATGTAGCCATCATAAATATAAGACAAAATAGTTTAACACAAAAACTGTTACAAGAAACAAAGAAGGGCACTATATTACGATTAAGGGGTCAATTCAACAGGAAGATGTCACTATTAGAAATGTATACGCACCTAATTACAGAGCACCTGGGTATTTAAAACAAATGTTAATGGAATGAAAGGAGACACAGACTCCCGTACAGCAGTAATCGGGACTTCACTACTCCACCTTCAGCCATGGACAGACCAACCAGACAGAAAGTCAGCAAGGAAACAGAGTTCATCGACACCACAGACCAAATGGACCTCACAGACACCCACAGGACGTTCCATCCTACAGCTGCAGAATCCACCTTCTTCTCAGCAGTGCACGGAACTTTCTCTAGGACTGACCACATGCCAGGCCAAGAAGCAAGTCTCAGCAAATTCAAAAAAACTGAAATCCTACCATGCACCTTCTCTGACCACAATGAAATGTAGCGCAAATTAGACAACTCAGGAATCTCTAGAGCAAATGCAAACACATGGAGACTGAACAACATGCTCCTGAACGAACACTGGGTCATAGAAGAAATCAAAAGAGAAGTCAGAAAATTTCTGGAAACAAATGAAGACGACAACACAACATATCAAAACATATGGGATACAGCAGAAGCAGTGTTAAGAGTAAAGTTTATAACAGTTGATGCCTACATCAAGATATTGGAAAGGCACCAAGTAAATGAGTTATCAATGTACCTCATAGACCAACAAAAACAGCAAAGCAATCAAAACAAAACAAAAAAAGACCTACAAAAGATCAGCAAAACGAAGAGCTGGTTTTCTGAAAAAATAAACCAAACTGACGACACCTTTGGCCCAACTAAGTGAAAAAAGTGAAGACCCAAATCAATAAAATTAGAGATGACAAATTTAACAACAGACACCACAGAAATAAAAAGAATCATCAGGAATTACTAGAAAGAGCTATACGCCAGAAAATGAGGAAACCTAGAAGAAATGGATAGGTTCCAGGGCTGGCGCCATGGCACAACAAGTTAGCCCTCCCCCTCTGGCATCAGCATCCCATATAGATACGGGTTCTAGTCCCGGCTGCTCCTCTTCTGATCCAGCTCTCTGCTATGGCCTGGGAAAGCAGTAGATGATGGCCCCAAGTACCTAGGCCTCTGCACTTGTGTGGGAGATCCAGAAGAAACTCCTGGCTTCAGATTAGCACAGCTCCAGCTGTTGTAGCCACTTGAGGAACCAGTGGATGGAAGACCTTTCTCTCTGTTTCTCCCTTTCACTATAAATCTACCTCTCAAATAAATGAATAAAATGGAAAAAAAATTTTTTGCCTTAAAAAAAAATCATCAGAAACTACTAAAAACAGTTGTATGTCAACAAATGGGGAAAACTAGAAGAAATGGATAGATTCCAGGAAACATGCAACATATCTAAATTGAGCCATGAAAATATAGAAAACCTAAACAAACCTAGAACCAAGACTTAAAATGAATCAGTAATAAAGACCCTCCCAACATAGAAAAGCCCAGGACTGGACGGTTTCATTGCTGAATTCTACCAAATATTTAAAGAACTAACTCCAATTCTTCTCAAGATATTCAAAACAACTGAAAGGAAGAGAATCCTCCTGAACACCTTCTACAAAACCAGCATCACCTAGGCCTGAAAATGACACAGCAGAGGAGAACTATAGACCGATTTTCCTGATGAACACAGACACAAAAATCCTCAACAGAATTCTAGCCAATCAAATCCAACAACAGGTCTGAAAGATCATTCACTAGGACCAAGTGGGATTTATCCCTGGTATACAGGAATGGTTCAACATTTGCAAATCAATGTAATACATCACATTAACAAATTTAAGAACAAAAACCATATGTTTATCTCAATAGATGCAGAAAAAAAGCACCTTTTCATGATAAAAACTTTAATCAAATCAAGTATAGAAGGAATATTCCTCATCACAATCATGGCAATTTATAACAACCCCATGGCCAGTGTACTATTGAATGGGGGAAAGTTGGAAGCATTCCCATAGATCTGGAACCAGACAAGGATGCCCACTCTCACCACTGCTATTCAATACAGTCCTGAAAGTTTTAGTCAAAGCCACTGGGCAAGAAAAAGAAACCAAAGGGGTACAAACTGGGGAAGAGGAAGTCAAACTATCCCTATTTGCAGATGACATGATTCTATATAGAGGGATCCAAAAGACTCCATCAAGAGACTTGGAACTCATAAGAGTTTGGTAAAGTAGCAGGACATAAAATCAATGCACAAAAATCAACAGCTTTTGTATATACAGACAATGCCACGGCTGAGAAAGAACTTCTTAGACCAATCCCATTCACAATAGCTACCAAAAAAAAAAAAAAAAAAAAAAAAAAAATCAAATTCCTTAGGATAAATTTAACTGAGGTTGAATAATAGCTTACCTTGGGAAATTTGTCAGAGTGGGCACATGACAAGAGAGATGGAATACTTTGGGACACTTGTCACAGCATAAGAGTTCCCCTCCGTTCTGACAAACCGCGCACCAGTCCTCATTGGGATCATCTTCCTTCCTGGTCTCTCCAACATGAAGAGGGGACTTTTGGGATGCATCCAGCCAATCAGACTTCTCATTTGAGGAACTTTCCTGCTGAAGTCCAGGCTGATCTCCTGTGCTGTCAGGGGCATCGGATCTCGGCACAGTCTCCTCGGAAGCAGAGCTCTGACCGCTGTGTAAGAGCAGGGAAGTGAGTATGCTTCTTGGATAGCTGGTCTGCAATAGGAAGAGGGAACAGTATGTGCATATGGATCTTTAATTGGCTTTTTTTTTTTTTTTTTGACAGGCAGAGTGGACAGTGAGAGAGAGAGACAGAGAGAAAGGTCTTCCTTTGCCATTGGTTTACCCTCCAATGGCCGCCGCGGCCGGCGCGCTGCGGCCAGCGCACTGCGCTGATCCGAAGGCAGGAGCCAGGAGCCAGGTGCTTCTCCTGGTCTCCCATGGGGTGCAGGGCCCAAGCACCTGGGCCATCCTCCACTGCACTCCCTGGCCACAGCAGAGGGCTGGCCTGGAAGAGGGGCAACCGGGACAGAATCCGGCGCCCCGAACGGGACTAGAACCCGGTGTGCCGGCGCCGCTAGGCGGAGGATTAGCCTAGTGAGCTGCGGCGCCGGCCTAATTGGCTTTTTAAATTAGCATTTCCATGATTGCAGACTGCACATTCCTGTCTCTTGATGAACTGGTTACTTACTTCAAGGGAGTCTGTGAATGTGTGAGAGAACAAGATAGGTTTTACAGAAGACTAATAAAAAATATCAAAATAGGTCAGCAGCAGCAAGGGGTGTGCACAATAGAGGGGAAAAGAAAACCTCTGAATCTGCTGATGGCTGCAGCAGAGTGAAGAGGTGATGTGCAAGTGAACTTCAGTGAGCTGTAGATACACGGGACGAGGGCTGTTCACCCAGATTCTACCTAAGACACGAAACCTCTGGTAGGAATCTAAACATTCTGCACAAGCCTCAGGTGGCAAACTTTCAAACCAGTAACAGAACCATCTCGACTCATTCTTTGGGGACAACTGTTTTTGCATCTAGCCTTTCCTTATGTTACAGGACTAAATAAAATGCCTGTACAATCTACAATTTCTTGGGTTTTCTATTGCCATGTATGTTGCATGGCCTTGCTATATGTATTGTGTGTGTATATTTGGTATGTACGTAGACTTGCTTTACAAAATCCCTACTAGGGAAGATGAGTAGGGTCAGTTTCTGCATTCTGACTCTATCCTCACAACTACTAGCACCACCAGCATGCATCCCGCCCTCCTTAGCAGTTTTTATTCAGCACAGAATTTCTAGATGGTATGCATATAATGGTTTATAGCTAGCATTTATTCCAAACGATCAGTAACTATATGTACTGGTTCAAGGATTCTCAAAGATTTTGATTAAAGCAAATTCAGGTTATATCTTGATTGTGTCACAGGTCTCAATTCATCTACATTCAGGTGTTTGCTTACACCATGATGATACAAATACAGTTCATCGCAAAATCAAAAATGTACTGACTACATTTCCCTTTCTGTACAACTTTTGTTTTTTACAAAAAATAATCACCTTATTTTTTTACTTGCATATTTTTCCAAACACCTTTATCTATGTCATTTTCACAGTCTCCACAAGGTTATAAAATACTTCAATACTGTGCAATCATTTCTGTCACTACAGATGCAACCTTATGGAGCCCACAGTCGTCCACACTGCAGACCACTCTACTGGAACCTGCCCTTTTCTGGCTCTGTGTAAGATCCCAGAGAGCTTTTGCTTTCCTATATGTGTATACACACCTGGAAAATGTGTATGTGGACAACTGTCTGAGACTTTTGTAGACGTCTCATAATATTTAGTCTTCATGCATAATAAATTTTTTCTAAGTAAAACATTTTGTTTAGAAAATTCTGTTTCCAGGGCCCGTGTTGCAAAGCAGTGGGTTAAGCTGCTGCTTGCAATGCCAGAGACAGCTGCACTTCTGACCCGGCTTCCTGCTAATGCATCCCTGGAAAGGCACAGAAGACGGGCAAGGAATTGGGTCTTTGCCTCTGATGTGGGAGGCCAGAACATTCGTTTCTGGCTCCTGGCTTCAGCCTGGCTCAGACCTGGCTGTTGTGGCCATTTGGGGAGTGAATCAAGGGATTTATTTAAAAACAAACAAACAAAAAAACCACACCTCTCTCTGTTGCTCTTTTTAAATAAGTAAATATGTCTTAAAAATATTTTGTCATACTTTAGCTACTTCTTCATTCTCTTCCAGGTTCTAGTGTCTGTTAACAATATGATTTTTAACCCTTTTGTTTAAGAGGCTTCTCTCCCTAGAAACGATTTAGAATCTGCCTTTCCTCTGGTGTTCTGGAATTTGTAATAATATGCCTTGAATCTTTTTCATTTATGGTTCCGGTTCTTGGTGGGTCCTTTCCATTCAGATTCTTGGGCCCTTCAGTTACCAGAACATAATCTTTTATTATTTCTTCAGCAATTTAACTACTATTCATTTCTCTTTTATTTTACCCCAAAAGCCTAGCCTCTTCATTTGAGCCTCTGATTTTTCAAACATTTCTTTTCTTGTCTTCCATCTTATCTTTTTGTTTACTGCGATTTCCTAAAAATTTCTTAAAACCTTTAAAGATATATAGGGCTTTTTTTTTTAAACCTTAAGAGCTATTTCTCATACCCCACTCCCCAAATAGAAATAGCATACCAAGCACTAAAATAATTACATTTTGAGGCCTAGATTCCTCATCAGATTCTTGTTTCACTATAACAACAGGAAAATCGTAATTCTCAGGTGGTCCACTGTTTTCCTGTTTTATTCGGATCGGCTCCAACATGACCACTGGCACTTTATGTGTAGAATCTGCTCCTGCTGGTTTGCTGGAGGAGCCAGAGCTGCAAGCAGAACGAGAGAAGGAAAGAACTAAGAATGCCACGTTAGACGTCACAACCATATATGCAATCAACTTCTGGAAAAACCACCACAATCATGCCAACTGCTACATCAGCAATAAGCGGTGCGTAACTGAGATGCAACTGCCGTGATGCAAAAGCATCCCCTCTGATAAGAAGGTTCACATGCTAACCTCTCTAGACAACCACATACTGCGTGTGGGAAGATGTTGACATAAACCCTGCATTGAAAGATAACTGAGTTCTAAAATTGGCAAGCAGATACAGTATCTCAGAACGAACATCTTTCTTAGGTTGTCCCATTTCTCAGCTGGTCAGTAGCTATGACAACTCACACTAACAACTTGTTGTTGAAGTGTGAAGACAATGAACTACACAACCGTTTATTGCTGTTCTGCTATTTCAAGAAGGCAGTGGGGCAAAAACCTTCTATGGACAGCTGCTACCCTCCCCGGATGAAAGGCAAACAGGTTTCTCCCCTCAGAGAATGCTTCCTCCACATGAGCTAAGTAAGAATCGGATTCACCATCTAGGACTAACTGTAAGCACAATGAGGGGAAGACTACACTACATTTGCAAAAAATGTAAATTTATTTCTTTTTAAAGTAGCAAAGTTAGAGAACATTGAAATTGTTATAAGATTATCATTTGTTTCCCTGTTTGTGTCTCTATATAGTGCAGTGTGTTTTTATTCCTGTTTCACCTTTTTCCTCCCTTGCTCTGATGCTAATGTCAAACATTTTATTTTCAACATATAGGTAAATATTTTAAAGATAAATTTATGCTCAATTCATTTATTAAATTAAAATAGAATGATTAAAATTTCAACTAAAAGTGAAAAATAAAGGAAGTTGTTCAGAATATTCTGAGTATCCGATTGTGCTGAGCACTGGCAGGAGCTACTACTTAGAAATTTCATGTGCTAGAGAATATGGTTAAGTCCGTTTACCTTCCTCGGCTCCCAATGCTGGAGGCACTAGGTGAACGAATTGGGGGATGTACACTAGTCATAGTGACAGGTCCTGAGGAGGGGGAAATCATACACATTCATAAAACGAGTTAATCATCACGTACTGAAATCCGACTGAATGTGCTCACTTAGCACTACCTTCAAAGTAGGAACACATAATGATATTACATGAACCAAGTAGTTGCCGAACTCCTAGCACAGGCTTTTAGATCTTACTGGATGAGCAGGATTTCTCAACCTCAGCCTACTGACTTGGGCCAGAGAATTCTTTGTCGTGGAAGAATGGCGATGTATTATAGGATGTCTGGTGGCACCCAGAACCTCTAGCAGCATTCTTTAGATCTCCCAGCTTGAGGTGAGACAGTCAATCTGCAAATACTGCCAAGTCCTTCTTATGCTAGAGTAACTGGGGTAGGATCTTAGAGAGTACTCTATTGCCAGTGCAAGCCACTTAGGACTACAAAAAGTAGTTGGGGCTAATATAAAAGGTGCTCAAAGACCACATAAAGAAAATGAGATAAACTACTGGAAGACACTGAGATGCTCAGATTTCAGGCAATAAACCAAAGCGAACTTTCCAGCCTGCTGCCAGGAAATGACAAAGAATCTATAATCTGTCAGGAGTTTAGGCTGAAGAATGGAAACCACAGTAAAACAGCCAAGCTGCAGGAGAAAAAAACAAAACAAAACAAAACAAAAACACAAAAACCAAAAAATTCCTACTATAAATAATTGTGGTTTGAAGTGATGAAGGCCCCAACTCAAGGGTAACAGTAGGAACATACTGAAAGTGAGGAATAGCTAAGTTACTTCAAAGTGAAAAGGCTGTAAAAGATTGATAAGTGACAGGATGTAGCTGATAGAGTGATGAGACGGAATCCATTTCACTGTTTTATGAACTCTGGAGAACTTCCTTTAAATACAAAACAAAACAATGGATTTTTCTTCTGAATAAAGCAAGAATGCTCCATTTCAGAATATTTGAAAACTATAAAGGATATAACATGATGGGATTGATAATTCACATTCCTAAAGCATTTAAGTGATCCATCTATGCTGAGACATCTCTTTCCAGTTTTAAACATAATTTACATCTCTTATAATTACAATAGTATACCATAGTTCTGTATACCTTTGTCTGAAAACAGCGTCACAAACATGCCACTTGAATATCCAAGAATATTCTGTTTATGAGCGCATTCTTTCCATTTCCTACACCTGGATATTTATATCGCGTCAAATCTTTACTGTAAATAACAAAAACACTTGCTGGCACAGTACTCAGGGGTTCCGTGTAGTTTAAGTATTAAAATGAGCTAACTGGGCTCAAGGCTATGTATATATTCACTAAGGCCCCGGAAGCCAATAAGCTAGTAGGTAATGCATAGAAGACACTTGTCCAGCGAGTGGCACACAGTACTGGATCAACGTAAGCTTTAATAATGATGCTACGACAATTTCCAGAAATGTTTTGCCAAGTTATAACCCTACTGGCTATGTCAGTCATTCTGTCAACATGTTTTCAACTATGAGGATTTTCACTTCTTAAATCTTAGCTAATATAGTAGTTAGAAATATCTTGTTTAGATTTTTCTTATAACTACCAATCAGACTGAACATTTTTGTTTAACTTGTTATATGTGTTTCCTTTTTAGGGAATTATCTACTCATCATGTCCTTTGGAATGCATTGTTTGTAAGACCTTGTCCTGTGATATAGTTTCTCGGGCATAATTTATCATTGGTTTAAAATAGGTATCTAAGATGCCTACTAAGTTAAGTTCAATTGAAAAGGTGAAGATGTTTAAATATCCTTCCTACTTTGTAATGATACCAATGTTCATACAGTGCAAAGAACTTAGACACATCTTGATCATCCAACAAAAAAATACAGGAGAAAATGGGTAGAGGGTTTTTTTTTTTTTTTTTTTTTTTTAAATAAGTAAAAACTAGAAAAATAGTCACAAAGATCAAAGCTGACTTTACCTGCAAGGCCTGGGGATGGCACGGATGAATTTGGTGACTGGACTGTCCTGTTGGAGGGTGGTCTTGGCTGGCCATGTTCTACACTAGTATCTTTTCTCCCAATGTTCTCCAACATAATTGTACTTGAACAGTCAATCTTATAAGAAAATAAATTATTTCAGGACATCCTGACTTTACAAGCCAAAGACATTTATTCTTATAAGAAAACTTCAAAAACGTAATCTCTTCCAAATAGGAAAACATAAATATCACATTTGAGAAGTTGACATTTTTCCATCATAAACAACCTCAAGGAAAGTTTTCCATTTGTTTGTTCAATAATGCACTCCGCAGTAAATATAGTGAGAACACATTATTTCAGAAATCAAGAGTCAAGAGAAAGACATTTATCTCAGGTCATTCACAAAAGAAAATTAAAAATATTTCTTACTTCACTTAGAAGTAACAAAGGGTAGCTGTATTAAAAAATTAGAAGAGTAGCACAACTTCACAAATCTCTAATGCCAACTTCAGAGTAACCAAGTGCACTGTACATGTCAGCTTCTGCGTTCAATCTGTGGTGCTATAGGGTTGAAGAATAAGAAATCTGATGTCTACTTGAAGATCAACCAATTCGACTGTTAATCTGCTTCCATGTTCACTCTGGAGTGACAGGTGGTTCACGAATCTGAAGAAAATTTGACCTCACACGTCCAGGACTCTCTGGGCCATTCTAGAACTCTTAATGGAACTCTAAAGTCCTCGGCCCAGAATTGATGCCTTAAAGATGATTAAGTGAATCCATACAGAACACATTTCCAGGGCACTAACGTCACTAAATACATGACAAGTGCTTGTTAGGAAAAGAAAGTTAATCTCTTATGTAGATTCTTCCTGTAATGTAACAAATATACAAATGACAATGCTTTCCTAACTCACGGCGCGAGAGCACAACGCTTTAGAAGCAAATATTCTGTTCTGCCAGAACATAACAGATTTTCAATGAAGGTCTCTAATATAATTCCAGCCTTTCCCAATCAGATTTACAAGGGAATTAACCAAGGGCCAATTTACAGACTGAATAAACATCTTGCCTATGCACCTAGAACGCTTAGGAAGACCTGAGCAAGAGTCACTCAGGTCAGTTTCCTCATTCTGTGATCCGGTGAGGAAATCAGTTCAGTTAGTGGGAAGGCCAGCTGCAGGATGGCCGCAGAAGACACAACACAGCACTTTACCTTCTCTGGGTGCTCTCACTGGAATGGTGGTGGTGGTGGTGGGGTAGGGTGGAGGGTGGAGTTGGAGGGACAGGCAGTGTTGAGTTGGACAGGGTAGCACTATACTGGGTCATTTATGTTTTAAATAATTTTCTCAATACCTTGGCCAATACATTTCAGAGAGTATGAAAAGTACTGAAATGACTGGGTTTATTAGATAGTAAAATAAAAAAGTTATTTGTATTATGCAGTCATCCTGAAAGCAGAATTAAACCATGGGAATTAGACCCCAAGTTTTGCCATGTACTATCTATGCATAGACGACAAGTGCATGCTACTCATTTCAAGTACATAAAATCGGCGGTGGGCATTTGGCCCAGCCATTAAACCACCAGCTGGAATGCCCATGTACCACAGTGCAGCGTCTGGGTTCAGGTCTGGGCTCTGCACCCAGGAACAGATTCCTGCGAATGCGCACTCTGGCGAGCATCAGGCATGGATCAAGTAACTGGGTCCTTGCCTACCATGTGGGAGACCCACACTGAGTCCCAGCTCCTACCTTCAGCTGAGCTCAACCCTGCTGGTGTGGATATACTGTGAAGGAACCAGCAGGTGTTCGCCCTCTCTGTCTTTCCAATTAAACATATACATAAATTTGTCCTTAAAATTATTAAAAAAAATGAAATTACTCGGGTAAGGTTAACAATACAACTATTAGGAAATACTAGCTGATCTGAACTTGAAAAGACAACAAATTCAACAATGAAAATTAAAAAGTTTGCTCACAATCTTATAGTCATTCTTTTTAAGTGTACAAGGATATTTCTTGAAAATTTTTTACATGGTTGGTTTTGTGCAGGTGTGTTCATTACAGTGCAATCACCTAACCTTGTAGTATAAGAAAAGGCAAAACAAGGATCGACTTATGTACAGAGATCTGTCCATGCCAGGTTGTATTTTGTACCTTTGGAAAAGCAATACTGATAGAGATCTGGAGATTAAACACATTACTTAATGTCAATATAACATAAAGCAGAGGTAATGTTACACTGGTCAGAACAATGGGAGCTCTGCTTTTCTGAACTTGCAGTGTCCTTCTTTGGCTTTGTTCCACTAAATCACATCCAATTCCTCAGCCTCCCAGTCCATCTGGCCATGTCCTTATTCCCCTCCTTCCCCAGCTTATATTCCATGGTCCATACCTAACAGTCCAAGGGCTAGCTGACTTCATGGACACTAAACAGGGATAAAAATACAGTCCACATTCCACTTTGCTAAGGTGCAAGAGGCTGCATGTTGTGTAAGACTCAAAATCAATGACAATTTTCCAAAGAGGTGGTTAATATAGATTTTAATATACAGTTTGTGTGTACTTACATCTGGAAGAGAAGGAAGATTGTAAGAACCTCCCACTGGTGAGCTCAGATCAATCATGGGTGACCCAAACGCCTTTCCGTCATATCCTGCTGCACTAGTAATGGTAGGGCTAGAAGGGGTAGAAGAGGTGCTGCTGGCAGTTGATGGGGCACCCTGTCCACTGCTGATCTGCCACTACAGGAGTAAGAATGGAAAACAGGCAATCAAGAACTCAAACAAAATGAAGTACAGGATACACTCTGCTACTCAAGTTCAATTGTTATCTGAATGGAAAGAAGGGGGGTGGCACCCATGTATCCAGCCAAAAAATTAGAAGCACTGATTTCATCAGGAGCCAATAGCAAGGATGTATGAAAAAGTCAAAGTATATCAAAATATAAAAACAGCAGCTTCAAAATAAAGATGGAGGTTTGAAAAATGTACATTTTCTATCCCTACTTGAAATACCTGAAAGTAATAAGCCAGACTGTGACACTGAAGTTTTTATATTTCTCTTTTCCATTTCTCAGATATTTAATAGATGTTATACATTTGAGAAGAAGTCTCGTCATTCACATCAGAGGCTGAGCTAATAAATACAGTAAGACAATACTAGACATGCTAAAGCACACAGAGGTACAGCATGCTGCTGCTTGCAATTTGCTTCAAAATCTAGTTTAAAATGATGGCTGGGGGCTGGTAGCACAGTAGGTAAAGCCACCGCTTGCAATGTCAGCATTTCATATGAGTCCTGACTGCTGCCCTTCCAATCTAGGTCCCTGTTAATGGCCCAGGCAAAGCAGGGGAAGATGGCCCAAGTATGTGTGCCCCTGCCACCTACATGGGAGACCTGGTAACAGTGAATCAGCTGACCAACCTCTTACTTTGTCTCTACCTAAATCGGACATGTAAATAAATAAACCTTTTAAAAATAATACACACTAAAAATAAAAATGATGGCTTGATGTAGGTGGAAGGATAGCACCAAATGGGCATGAGTTACACAAGGTACGGCTAAGAGGAGGAAAATTCTATTCTTTCAACTTTTGCTATGCTGAAAAATTTTCATAATGGGAAAAAGAAAGCCTCTAAGAGGTATTCTAAGATAATGCAGGAAAACCATTTTCCCAATGGTCATTTAGGGATAGAGGGATGATGACACTATATAGCAACAGGCATCTCAAACACTGATTTTACAAATTCAATTTAGAAGCTTCATTGTTAAAACTACTACAGAAACACAAGCAGCTGGTTGAGAATGTCATCTTTACCACCTATTTACCCCTCATATCCTCCCATCCAATGTAATCCCACCCTCTCCTTTCCCCAGGAATAATTACAGTTATAGCTGGTGGATATCCTCCCAGGGCTTGTTCGATGAGATTTAAGAAAGCACCCACACTGGCCGGCGCCGCGGCTCACTAGGCTAATCCTCCGCCTAGCCGCGCCGGCACACCGGGTTCTAGTCCCGGTTGGGGCGCCGGATTCTGTCCCGGTTGCCCCTCTTCCAGGCCAGCTCTCTGCTGTGGCCAGGGAGTGCAGTGGAGGATGGCCCAAGTGCTTGGGCCCTGCACCCCATGGGAGACCAGGAAAAAGCACCTGGCTCCTGCCATCGGATTAGCGCGGTGCGCCGGCCGCGGCGGCCATTGGAGGGTGAACCAATGGCAAAAGGAAGACCTTTCTCTCTGTCTCTCTCTCACTGTCTACTCTGCCTGTCAAAAACAAAAACAAAAACAAAAACAAAAAAAACCACCCACACTAAAATGAAACACTTCGAAATTTCTTGAATATGTTTTTATCCACTTAATGTGATTAGAAGGATGTATATGGATTACTGTAATCTTTCATTTTTAAAAAAAATTTTAAAACTAAGCTTATCTTCTATTTTTCAGGAAGCCAGAGCCCAACAGAGAGAGAGTGAGGAAGCAAGAACGAGCTTCCCTCTACTGGCTCACCCCTAAGTAACTGAATCAGGGTTTAGCCAGGCACAAGCATGGGCTCAGTCCAGGTCTGACCTATGGGTGGCAGGGATCCAAGTATGTGAGCCATCATCTGTTGCCTCCCAGGGTGCACGTTAGCAGGAGGTGGGAGCACTCCAATCCAGGAGGTACGCACCACACGTGGCATGTGAACTGCTAAACCAACACCCATCCCTATTCTATTTTTTTTTATTCCAAAGCAGAGAGGGAGACAGAAAAATATGTGTCCCTTCTGCTGGTTCACTATGCAAATACCCACAACAGCCAGGACTAGGACAGGCTACACGGGGAGACAGGAATTAAATTCAGGTCTCACACTTGGGTGGCAGAGACGCAACTGCTTGATTCATCACTTGCTACCTCCAAGGCATGCATGAGCAGGACGCTGCAATTGGGAGAAGCCGCCTGGACTGGAAGACAGACACTCTGCTGTGGACTGTGGGTGCCCCAAGTGGTATCAGAACTACTATGCCATACATCTGTCCCTGCATTGGCTAAACACAGAGAAACTCTCAGACCATGCATCGTTAGAATGACATTTCCAAGGGATTTCATTAAAATCAAGGTGAGAGAATTATGAAAATATCATCATCATCTTAATTTTGGGCTTGTTGAAGAAATAAAACTGAAATCAGTCTATAAGTCTTCACTTGAAAAGACTGACATATGTACTTAAGTTAAAGACAGAGACAGCTGTCACTTTATAAGAAAATCTAGAAGAGGTTTACTGAAGACATGTCATTTCCTTGAAATATGCTAGACTCATTCACTATTCTTTTGTGAAATGCAATTTGTACTTGTTACAACCCTTGGTCTTGGGAAACTCCATTACTCAGCTACAAGTTATACACCAGTGATGCAAACATTAATACCTATGATCTGATTATGATTTCCCTTAAGTGATTTGATTTCTTTCACTTGGCTTCGTTTCCATGGGTCTACAGTAAACATGGTGACTCAAATTTTAGAAAGAAAAAAAGCCAAGCTCACTCTTTTTCCCTTTTGCTGAATTTTCAAATTCAACCTGATCTGGAGAGAGGCAGAATAAGCAACCGTGGAGAAGAGGGTAGGAATTTACCTGTTTTATGGCTTGTTGGGCCAAGAAAGCCATCTGCAGGGGGTTGGGCTTTAGTGCCTGTCTGGGCATATTCTGGCTCGAAGGGTATCTCAGCTGTGGAGGATGAGGAGGAAGAACTGGTCCATTTGGTTTAGGGCTATGATTCTGAAAATTTATCAAACGTGGAGGGGGCTGCTAGGAAAAAAAGAAAGAAATCAATTCAGTAACAATTATTTCCTGAAAGACAAACTACAGAGATGTATAATTTATTAAGCTGCTACAGCAAGGCAGAAACTCAGCCACAGGGAGAGGGATGAGTAGACTTATTCAAGGTGTGAGAACAATTAAAAAACATACGCTGTCTGAGCAGAAGTCGGGGGCTGCATGGTGCAGATAAGGAGAGGCAGCCAGGCTTGAAGGAGCCTGCACCAGGATCAGGCCTGGGACGTGCTAGGGAAATAGGGCAACCGTGTCTCTGGTATCCAAGCCCCCTCAAGAAACCAAAGAATAACTGCCAATGTTTACCAAGCGGTTATTAAACTCCAAGTACTGCTCTAAGTGCCTCACATGCATTCATTCATTTAATCTTTAGATAGTCTAAGTAACTTGCCCAAGATTAACCACGACAATCCTGATGGAGCTCAGACTTGAACAAGCAGGCTAGCTCTAAGGTTAGTACTCTTTCGTCTTTTCATATGAATTTGAAACACAGAAAGACAGAAATCTTCTATCTGCTGGTTACCCCTAACTGCCCTAAACAGCTGGGGCAGGTCCAGGCCAAAGCCAGGAGGCTGGAATTCAATCCAGGTTTCCCATGTGGGTGGCAGGGACCCAACTACGTGAGCCACTACATCCTGCCAGGCTGCACAACAGGAGGAGCCAGAGTCGAAGTGCAGCTGGAACCACCCAGGCAGCTTCATAGAGGATGTGTGTGTGCCAACCACCTGCCCTGCCCAACAAATCAGTGATGAACACAATGTTTAAAAGTTAACAATGAGCTTTATATCTTCCTGAGCTCTAACAATATGCTAGGCATTTTTCATATATTATGTCACTGAATGCTAGCAGTATTATTGCATCCATGCTGCAAATTAGGAAACAGAAGATTAGAAAACTTAGAGAACTTGAAAAGTCATCCAGCTAGTAGAAGGAGTACCCAAGGCTATCATATAAATCTACTGGACCATTATCATTACCAAATTATGTATTTAGATTGCTGTTGATGAAGATACTGGCTAGGAGCCGGCACTGTGGTGTAGCAGGTAAAGCTGCCACCTGCAGTGCCAGCATCCCATGTGGTTAACGGTTTGAGTATCCGCTGCTCCACTTCCAATCCAGCTCTCTGCTAATGGCCTGGTAAGGCAGTAGAAGATGGCCCAAGTGCTTGGGTGGGTCCCTGCACCAGCAAGGGAGACCTAGAAGAATCTCATGCCTCCAGGCTTCATAAGATCGGTCCTTTACAGCCCTTTCAGAGTGAACCAATGGATCTAAGAATTCTCTCTGTAACTCTGCCTCTCAAATAAATTAATAAATCTTAAAAAAAAAAAAAAAAAGGCTTGAAGGGGCTTGGAGGTAAAGAGCAAAATAAAAAACATTAGAGAAAAATATCAGAATCTCAAAGTGTTACAGAAGCATGCGCATGGAGCCATAGCAATTCTTTTAAGTTTTCTTCAAAAGTTGTGTGACTTGAACAGTTTTATGCCACAGAAATACAAACAGAAAATACTTTTAAAAGCCATAGTAGAAACAGTGGAACACTGCTAAGTTTATGTAAGGGATTTCTTCTTTATAAGTGGAAAAGTATATAAAGTGGTCCTTAGGGGGCTTTTGCCCCTCACTCAGAGTGAAGTTGATTGATTAAACCAAATGTGACAACTGACAGCAAAGTCTGCTGTGTGTGGCATGTCAGCAATCTGTGAGGCTTGCATGTCATCCCTGTCCTTAGGGAGCAAACAGTCTGACAAGAGGAAAGGTGACCTTCCCCCTTCTCCTCAACTTACGGCTGACAGGGTTAATTTAAAACAATCCTGTGATAAGAAGCAGCTTGAAAAAATAAGATCCTAAAAAAGTGGCAAAACTAGTGCTATGTTGATTGAGTAGCATCATTTAATTTGCAAGACACAGAAGGAAAATATATTAAGTCAGAAGAGAACTGATGGGCATTAAACGAGCTGACATAATTGCAACGGGAACTACTGCTGTGAATTATGTACAGAATCTGTGACAGTGTAGTGTAACAAAGTTCAACCTGTTCACTGGAGTTCAACACCAGAGTGCACTTCTTGGTCATGTGACTGGTTGGCCTCTTTTCACCCAAGCCCAGCTACGCAGATGACATGGTTTAAGTTCAGAAGCACAGGAACAGGGAACTAGCGTGTACGTGGTTTGGAGACACAGTCTTATGTGCCTATGGGGAATACAATCTGAACATGCCCACCGAGCCACAGGTACCCCACACCTGTTCACAGACTGACATCTTCCAACACGTACCTACAAATAAATGGGTTAAAAAAACTAAAAACCAGAGGAGCAGAAGAGTGTAAGTTTAGAAAACAAAGAAAACTGGCAAGCCAAAGATTTACGAGCAAGAATTTAGCAGAGGGTGGCAGCACGAAAGAAGCTCCAGTAGTCACGGAGAGTAAACGGAAAAAGAACAGAATGTGCGATCGCAAAGCTCTTATTCTAAGTGCACAACAGACACTGTGTATTTTATTGATTATTGTGCTCAACTCTAGGCTAAAAATAAGATCAAAAGCAAATTCTGAGGAAAGCAGACTAAAGGCTCAGTGATTAATTCTATAGTTAACTACTGACGCAGTTGATCAATTCTCAGTGAGAACCGTTTATAAATTCATACATGTAAATCATGAATGATGGATGTCTTGGTTATTTCAAGAGCTGCTGAACACAATCACACTGTCATTCTCTAAGTTAGGACAGGCCTGCTTCCAAATTTACCTGATGAGAGATGGAAGGCTGCTGGCTGGGCCCCTGCTGGCCGGGCCCCTGCATTCTAGGGTTTGGTAAACCCACAGGTGCTGGCCTCCGTTGCACCTGTTGCCTCTGAGCCATTACCTGTTGCTGCATATGCTGGAGTCGTAATTGAGCTAGGCTGATCTGTGTTGGGAACTTGGATAACTGGTTTGAAGATAAACCACCTGATGGCTGTGAATTCTGTTCCATGACAGGATTCTGTTTAGGCATTTGAGGCTGGCTCTCTTTATCCTCGATTACTAAAGAACCTAATGGAAGAAAAAAAAAAAAAAAAAAACGATCAAAGTTTTTTGGTAGTTGATGAAATATCACACTTTGTACAGCTATTTTTTGCTAGAATTCAGAACTGTGGAGGGATGTTATACTCAAAAATAGAGAACCTGAAAGAGCTATATATGTAGGTTCTGAGAAAATCTACCATATGAAAAACTGGAGAATTAAAAAAAATTACCAGGCCCAGCCAGCACTGTGCCACAGCTGGTTAAGCCACTGTTTTCAATACTGACATCCCCTATAAGAGTGTTGCTTCAAGTCCTGGCTGCTCCACTTCCATTTAAGCTCCCTGCTAATGTGACTGGAAGGCAGAAGATTGTCCAAGTGCTTGGGCACCTATCACCTATGTGGGAGACCAGGATGGAATTCCTGGCTCCTGGCTTCAACCTGGCCATTGCAGCCATTTGGGAAGTGAACCAGTGGATGGAAGATTTCCCTCTCCCCTCCCTCTGTCACTCTGCCCTTCAAATAAGTAAACAAATCTTAAAATAAGGTGAATACTGATTTGCTTTGGCCTAACAGCTGACCTCCCATATGTGGCCCTGCAGTATCAGTCATCGTCTGTAGTTAGATCACAATATATATAATAGAATAATATAACAGCTGAGCTCCCACACATGTCCCTGCAGTATCAGTCATGGTCTGTAGTTATATCTCAATATATATAATAGAATAATATATAACAGCTGAGCTCCCACACGTGTCCCTGCAGTATCGGTCATGATCTGTAGTTCAGATCACAATATATGAAGAAAATCTGGTCTTGCACAGATACAGATGCATTCTCCTGAATAAGCCGACCATGTTTCAGAATTGTTCTCATACAGCACGAGCAAACCTGACTCCTCCTCAATATCAACAATGCAGTCTCAAGAATCCTCTGCTTTTACAATGAACCTAAGTCAGTTCTCTGATGGAAAACTTTAGATTGTGAATAACTTTAAAGATGCCTCCAACAGTTCTGATTCAATCTGATTTCTTCAATGATATGCACAACTATGTGTTTGATGTAGTAAGCACCTGCATTTTTAAAATATGTACTTTTTTTTTGGACAGGCAGGGTGGACAGTGAGAGAGAGAGACAGAGAGAAAGGTCTTCTTTTTTACCATTGGTTTACCTCTCAATGGCCGCTACGGCCGGCGCACCGCGCTGATCCGAAGCCAGCAGCCAGGTGCTTCTCCTGGTCTCCCATGTGGGTGCAGGGCCCAAGGACTTGGGCCATCCTCCACTGCACTCCCGGGCCACAGCAGAGAGCTGGACTGGAAGAGGAGCAACCGGGACAGAATCCCGCGCCCCGACCGGGACTAGAACCTAGGGTGCTGGCACCGCAGGCACAGGATTAGCCTATTGAGCCGCAACACCGGCTTAAAATATATACTTTTCATTAAATCCTTCTGTGTATTAAGCATTGTGATACATAGGTATATGCACCGTGTATGTATAAAACAGAACATCAGGGGTGGGCGTGAGGCCGCAGTGGTTAAGCTACTGTTTGTGATGATGGCATCTCATATCGGGTGCCAGTCTGAGTTGTGGCTACTTGTCTTCCAATCCAGCTTCCTGTTAATGCACCTGGGAAATCAGTAGGTGCTAGGGATCCTACCAGCCAGGATGGAGTTCTGGGCGTCTGGGCCCAGACCTGGCTGTTAAGGTCATCTGAACAGATGAACCAACAGATGGAAGATATCTTTTTGTCTTTCAAATAAATAACATCTTTAAAAACAAACTGCTTTAAATGGTATGGTGAATGCTGAAGCGCTTACCCAAAGTCATCAAAACATTAACCAAGTATTCATCCAGATTTTTCATTAAGATTTTTTCCCAAACAATCTTGTAAGCTTTTCAAAAGCCCAGGATAAAAAAACTTGGGAAACTTGACTCCTTGGGAGGCTTACAATGTCAATTGTAAATAAATTTACTGAGCTACAAGTAGCAGCCTTAACTAGTACAATAAAGGACATTATTTAGCGTTACTCTGTCAGTTTCACAAGCTTATTGAGTGTGGAAATCCTATTTTTGCTGATGCAGATCCTATTTTTGCAGATACAGACTTATTAAAAGCCATATCCATTTCTGTTATAATTTCAAACCAAATTCTTAAATATGTTTACATGTAGATGTACTTACTCATTCTAAGTAATATGATTACTAAGTATGGAGGTATGTCAAAAAGTTTCTGGGAAAAAAATTTAAAAGATTTCAGTGACAAAGACTTTGAAAGCCATGCATAATTTATTCATAATAAGCATTTTTCAGGGACTTTGTGAGAATACATTATATATATAATACAAGTTTCAGTGAAACAATGCTTAGAAATCCACGCACAGTTTTGTTTTTTTTTTTTTTTTTAATATTTATTTATGGGGCTGGGCTATGGCATAGTGGGAAAAGTCGCCACCTGAAGTGCCGGCATCCCATGTGGGCGCCAGTTTGAGTCCCGGCTGCTCTATTTCCTGTCTAGCTCTCTGCTATGGCCTGGGAAAGCAGTGGAAGATGGCCCAAGTCCTTGGGTCCCTGAACCCGCATGGGAGACCTGGAAGAAGCTCCTGGCTCCAGGCTTTGGATCAGTGCAGTTCCAGTTGTTGCAGCCAACTGGGGAGTGAACCATCGGATGGAAGACCTCTCTCTCTCTCTGCCTCTCCTCTCTCGGTGTAACTCTTTCAAATAAATAAATAAATCTTAAAAATATATATTTATTTGCAAGGCAGAGAGATAGATAAAAAGGGAGAGACAGAAAATGAAATCTTCTACTTGCTGGTTTACTCCCTAAATGACTGCCAACAGCCAGATCTGGGCCACGCTGAAGCCAGCAGCCAGTAACTCCATCCAGGTCTCCCACATGGGTGGCAAAGGCTCATGTACTTGGCCTTCTTCCCTTACCTTCCCAGGTGCGTTAGCAGAAAGCTGGGTCAAAGGCGGGGCAGCCAGCAGTAGAACCTGCACAGCAGTTCGGGTGCAGGCGTCACGGAGGGCAGCTTAACCACTGTGCCACCCAGCTGGCTCCATGGGTGTTTATGTAATTTGTGTAAGTTTCTCTGAATACACTATGTGGGAAGACTCATCATTTGTGCTAAGTTCTCAGATGAACGTGTGGTAGTCAAGGAGTCTGCTGTGGGTATTTAGTGCAATGGTTAAGATGCTGCTCAGGGTGCCTGCATTTGAGTCTGGGGTCTACTCTGATTCCCATTTACTGATAATGTGCACCCTGGGAGGTGGCAGATGATGGCTCAAGTACTTGAGTCCCCCCTACCCGTGTCATACCTGGATGAAGTTCCAAGCTCCTGGCTTCACCTGTCCCAGCCCTGGCTATTTTGGGTATTTGGGGAGTGAACAAGAGGATGGAAGATCTCTCTCACACTCGTTCCCTAGCCCCCTCCTCTGCCTTCCAAATGAACATACAATAAACTGGGGGGCATCGCCATGGCACAGCAGATGAAGCTGTTGCCTGCAGTAATGACATCCCACATGGGCACTGGTACGAATCCTAGCTGCTCCAGATCCAATCCAGATCCCTGCTAGTGCACCTGGGAAAGCATCAGAGCATGGCCCAAGTCCATGTGGGAGACCCAGAAGAACTCCTGGCTTAGGATCAGCCCAGCTCAGACCGCTCTGGCCATTTGGGTAGTGAACCAGAGGATGGAAGATCTCTATTTCTCTCTCTCCCCCTCTCCTTCTAATTCTGACTTCCAAATAAATAAGTAAATATTTTTTTAAAAAAATACAATAAATTTAAAAACTGAAAAAATAAGGTGCTTTGTATTTCCAAAGATACTTTTTTGTCAGTAAGGTGGATGAGTATGGTAGTTGTCCCCACAAGCCTTCTGTAGCACCTTTGCTTCAAGGATTCCTTTTGTTCTTTCTTTGCTTGGTTGGATGAAATGTGTGTCAGCTTATTTCTTCTTGTCCTATGTCCCAGGAACAATGGTGCTCTCTCTAGTCATTTTTCTCCTTCCTACCCAGATTCTAGCCCTGGGGATGAGAAAACTATCATCTTTGATGATTCTGAAACAAAGTCAATGAGCTCAGAAAATATCATCCAAGGGAAAACTGGTCACTGATGAATAAATGATGTACATGGAATTCATAAATTTCTGTATTCGTGGTTGCTGTGAAGAATCAAGGGAGGAGGCCCAAAGACTTTCTATTCAGTAAAGTTTAATAACTTCCAGGTCAACTGCTTACAAGGATATTTTAGCTCCTACTGTTACCACATGATCATCTGTGAACTTTCATACTTAAATCCACCCTGCATATTATGTTATATCTCATAAATAAAACTCATATTTGTACATCTATATATCTATAAATGTAAAGTTATCTGACCAGGCAAAAGAAAAAAAACTTCCTTATGCAAGCAAGATAAAGAAACTGAAGAACCAGGTACCAGAGAATGGGTGTGCCAACAGCGTCAGAAGAAACAGGATTTCCACAGAAGATGCTCTAGATATCCAGAATCCTGAATGAACGACTGGCAAGCATCAACTCCCTCTAATAAAGAACTAACCTTACACATACATGTCTTTTAAACAAGACAACAAAACACTGCAGGATGAAAGGAAACATATATCCAATAACAGGCCATAACTGCTCAGAGTTCCACAAGCAATGGCATGTTGAGAAAATACATAATTGCCTACCTAAGTTGATAATATTTTGAGCCCAGAAACTGGGATCACAGTGAAACTGGATGGTGTTGTTGGTCACTGGGGAAGCATCACACCTTGCACGAAGGAGGTGCCGTAACCGGTATGTAATCTAGAAGAAAGGAGACAGACAATGAAGCATCAATATCTATATCAGGAAAATAATAAATGCCCAGTAAAAACACAAACACATTCTCTGGGTGGGAGGTGTGAGGCAGTTAAGATGCCAACTGGAACACCTGAGTCCCACATGGGTGTGCCGGGATTCGATACCCAGCCATGGCTCCCCACTCAGGTTTCAGCTCACGCACGCCCTGTGAGGCAGCCATGACTCACAAAGTCACTTCCTGCTGCCCACATGGGAGACCTGGACGGCTGCTCAGTTCTGGCTTCAGCTCCATCCAGAGGTTGGTGTGGGCAGCTGAGTGTGAAGCAGTAGGTGGGAGTCTCTGCTTCTATCTCTATCACTAATTATTAATGTCTCTGGTGTGTATCCCAACACACAGTGAACATTCATATAGCTTATAAAAAACAGACATATGTCATTTTCTTTCCAAAGCAACAGTTCTGAGGTATGACTCAATTAGCTGTACCAATGAATCCAAAACTGAGAAGTATTGTAAAATAAAAGGTTAAAGCCAGTTCTGTAAATTAAAAAAAATTACATAGAAACATCAAATCAGATCTGTAAAATAACCATTTTTAAAAGATGGATTGATTTATATTATTAGAAAAGCTGAGTGACAGAGAGGGAGGGACAGACAAAAAGATTTTCCAAACCCTGGCTCACACCCCAAATAGCCGCCACAGTCAGGACTAGGCCACAGTCAAGCCAAGAAACGGGAACTCCACCCAGGTCTCCCACAGGGGTAGCAGGGGTTCAGGCGCTAGGCCACCTTCTTCTGCTTTCCCAGGTGTAACAGCAGGGAACACAATGAGAAGGGAAGCAGTGGAAACCAGAACCACTGCTCTGATACAGGATGCAGGAGTCCCATGGAGCAGCTGAACCCATGGCGCCACAATGCCAGCCCTACTATAAAACAAAATTTGAATATATCCTGCTCAGTTGTTCCAGCCCACGTGATACCATTACCCACGCAGGCTCTTGTGGAGGCCCCACACACTTTGGGTTCTGTGAAGCCTCCCACCTTCCCTCCCAGAGCCACAAGAACGAACCTGCCCCACAGAGCCCCTCTGAAGACAGACAAGTGTCCCTACCCACCATCCTCCTGCCCTAGAAGCAACTAAATGGCCCTATCCACCTTCGTACTGCCCCAGAAGCAGGCCCTGCCCACACACCATTTGCCCCAGGGGACAACCAGTAAACCAACCCTAGAGAGCTCCAGGAGGCCTGGGCACACTGAAAAGCAGCTCCTCTGACAGCCTCCCCTGACCTCAGAAAATAGCTGAGCCGTCTTTCCTGACTGGTTCGGCCGCTAAAGCTCCAGGAGAGAATGGACACCAATGGGAACCTGCTCTAAGACAGCTGCACCCCAGCTGCTGACAGGAGTCCACAAATCCTGTACCCCAGGCTACTGAGAAACCAAAGCCAAGGCAACATATCCAAATACCCTAGGACAGGTAACCAGAACAAAGGCTTTTACCCCAAGAGGCACCGCATAAAACTGATAGAAGGAACTGATCTGTCACACTCACAAACTCTAATGTGGGGACATAAAAAGTTTGTTAGCTTTTTATTACTACAGTGAAACACTTGAAGTAATCATAACTTTACAAAGAGAAAAGGTTCATTTAGCTCGCACTTTTGGAGGTTCAAGTCCAAGACTGGGCAGAACTACTGGTGAGGCCTATGATGAGAGTGGCAGACGGCAATGGCAGAGCACAGGCAGAGAAAGGATTCCAAGTGAGATGAGGAAGCAGAGCGGTTGGACAGAGCCCAGGCTCTCACGAGAACTCAAGAGTTCACGAGGGAATCAGGTTCTGAAGGCACGCCTCCAGTGACCTAAGGACCTCCCTCTAGGCCTCACTCTGTCACTTCCCAACATCACCTCCATGGGGACCAAGACTTTAACACAAGGGCCTTTGGGATATTCAACACCCAAAGAAGTATGCAAAACATAGCAATAAAAATAAAAAGCTGAGTTAACATTACGCCCCCAAAGTATATAGTAATCCTCTAGCAACAGACTACAAAGAAATAGAAATCAATGCACTGTTTGACAATTCAAAGAATGATTTTTAAAGAAAATTGATGAGGTACAAGATAATGCAAACAATTCAACAAAATTAGAAAGATGAATCCATGAAACAAGAAACTCAGCAGAGATGAAAATCATAAAAAAGAGCCAGTCAAAAATCGTGGCACTTAAAGAACTGAATAAATGAAATTAATAATACAGTTGACAGCCTCAACAGCATAATTAAGCAGACAGAAGAATTTAAGCTGCCAGCATCACATGTGGGCACTAGTTCAAGTCCCAGCTGCTCCTCTTCCAATCCAGCTCAGTGCTAATATGCCTGAGAGAGCAGTGGAAAATGGTCCAAGTGCTTGAGCCCTGCACACAAATGAGACACCCAGAAGAAGCTCCTGACTTGACTCCTAGCTTTGGTTGGGCCCACGTCTGACCACTGTGGCCACTGGCAGGTTGAACCAGTGGATGGAAGATATCTGTCTCTCTCTTTTGCTCTCTGTGACTCTGCCTTTCAAATAAAATAAATCTTAAAACTTTCTAAAGCTTGGGAAAGACATGGACCTCCAGATCCAAAAGATGAAAGAAAAAACACTCCTCCCTGAGGCATGTTATAGTGAAACCCTCAAAAATACAAGAAAACTACCATCATAAAAATACATAAAACGCCAAAACTCAACAGTAGAGCAGATACCCAAAAGATGAAGTCGAGACTCAAACACTATCAGCTACAGAAAACCAACAAGCCACTAGGAAGAACCAGAGGAAGAAAGGAACATAATGACTCCAGTATGTTTCTAGATATCAATAGCAACTCTGAATATAAATGAGTGAAATTCTTCAGTTAAAAAATATACTCTGGTTGAAATAAGAGAATGAGACCCAATGATACGCTCCCACAAGAAACTCACTTCACTAGTAGACACACATAGACTGCAAGCAAAGGGATGGAAAAGATATGTCACGCAAATGGAAACAAGAAACATGTAAGGGTAGTTATGTCAGATAAAATATAATTCAAAAAAGACCAAAAAAAGGTCAATATATAATAATAAAGGGATCAATTTACCAAAGGAAATAAGCAAAGTACATTTATTCTTCAAAGCTCATTTCACGATATTTATTTCTTATTTGTATTGCTTTGCACTGCTGCATGGGTGACTGTTTTTAGGTGTGGTGATATATGAACAGAAAAGACTATTTTAAGAACAATGCATATCCTAGTTTTCAGAAATGATGTTAAGTTTGCTCCTAGTTTAAGAACTTTTGTTATTTCTCAATCATAACTGTAAGAGATGTTCTGAAATATTCTACTTCACAGGTGCAACTGTTTTTGGTTCTAAAGTAAAATTCAATATATGTGGCCTTTTGCTGTAAAATTTAGCACTTTTTGTGGTAGGCCTCTGACTTATTATGAATTACATTTTGTGTATACTGTGGAGGGAAAAGCTCTCCAAGCGGCGGACGCTGTGGCTCACTAGGATAATCCTCCGCCTGCGGGGACGGCACCTGGGGTTCTAGTCACGGTCGGGGCGCCGGGTTCTGTCCCAGTTGCTCCTCTTCCAGTCCAGCTCTCTGCTGTGGCCCGGGAAGGCAGTGGAGGATGGGCCAAGTGCTTGGGCCCTGCACCCACATGGGAGACCAGGAGAAGCACCTGGCTCCTGGCTTTGGATTGGCGTAGCTCCGGCGGCCATTTGGGGGTGAACCAACGGAAGGAAGACTTTTCTCTGTCTCTCTAACTCTGCCTGACCAAAAAACAACTCTCCAAGCAAGGATAAAATATAAGCTCAGTGGTCATCCCATTGGCATGACTCATTTTAAATGCATTAAATTAAAAAATCCCCACATGGAGAAACATATTATGGTGACACAATTACTCTATCTCTTGTTTGTGCCCAAAAGCAAACTAGGATTATTGACTTATGCAAAAATATGCATGCATAAAAACAAAAGTAAATAGGAAGTCATAAATACCTCACAGGATAAATATTTGTTTGGTCTTTAATAAACTAAAGTAAAACAGGAACTTTTAAGAATGTTTACATTGGCCAGCTCGGAGGCCCACCTGGCTAATCCTCCGCCTGCAGGGCCAGCACCCGGGGTTCTAGTCTGGGTCGGAGCAACGGTTCTGTCCCGGTTGCTCCTCTTCCAGTCCAGCTCTCTGCTGTGGCCCGGGAAGGCAGTGGAGGATGGGCCAAGTGCTTGGGCCCTACAACCGCATGGGAGACCAGGAAGAAGCACCTGGCTCCTGGCTTCAGGCCATTCAGGGGGGTGAACCAATGGAAAAGGAAGACCTTTCTCTCTGTCTCTCTCTAACTCTGCCTGTCAAAAAAAAAAAAAACCAGGGATCACACTGTCAATAGTGAGGCTGTAGTTCAGCACATCTGAGACAGTTCTCTATGCCAAATGAGGTTAACATCCAGTACGCTCTCCTGTACCCAGCACCAACAAGCAGAATGCAGATTCTGAAGTCAGTCTGAGGTCATGGTGTCTACACTGCCTCTCTCTCACGGTGGGACTCTGGAACTCCGTGCCTTAGTTTCACCATTTGTGCAATAGACAGGTTAGAATTAGTGCCTGGCACACTAGAGATGACTGGTAAACGTTACCACCAGGATTACTGTTTGGGTTGAATTCAACTGCCATGAAAAGAGTAAACTTAAAACAAAACAGGAGTGATGCTGGAACATTAAAATTTACGTCCCACCAAAATCACAGCAGTCAAAAATATTTGTAAAACTTCAGTAGTTTTATCAATTAGAATAGAAATAGGTAAACATTAAGTACTAATGTACATTTCTGAATTTTAAACATTCCCATGACTATGGTTTCACAGGACATTTTTACAGTACGCTAAACACCATAATCTGTCTTACCAGTCGCTTGCTATACAGTAATGCTGTACTGCTGCCACTGGAAACTGCCCATTTAGAAAAATGCATGACGTGTTCCAACTGTTTGGAAAGTCCAGCCACCTCCTGTTGCTGTTGCATAAGTTTCATACGATGGTCCTTTGCAAGGCTCTGAAAACAAGAAAGTAATTTTAACATCAGTTTCTGCATATTGCATTATTTAGATGTATTTGATTTCAAATAAACAAATCAGAATAATCACCATCTCTGAGCAGTCAACTGAAACAAAAAGAAACAAAGCATGAGTTGCTTATAATAAGTATATGCTAGGGGCTGGCGCTGTTGCATGGTGGGTTAACCCACGACCTGCAGTGCATGCATCCCATGTGGTCGCCAGTTCAAGTACCAGATGCTCTACATCCAATCCAGCTCTCTGCTATGGCCTGGGAAAGTAGAAGACAGAACAAGGATGGACTCCTGCATCCACGTGAGAATCCTGCAGGAAGCTCCTGCAGCCATTTTGGGAGTGAACCAGTAGATGTAGTAGATGTAGTAGATGTAGTAAGACCTCTCTCTCTGCCTCTGACTCTCTGAAAATGCCTTTTACTTTTAAAGATGTATTCATTTGAAAGTCAGAGTTACACTGAGAGAGAAGGAGAGGCAGAGAGACAGACAGAAGTATTACATCTGCTGGTTAACTCTCCAATTGGTCACAATGGCCAGAACTGTGCCGATCCAGAGCCCAGGAGCTTCTTCTGGGTCTCCCACATCTGTGCAGGGGCCCACGGACTTAGACCATCTTCTACTGTGTTCCCAGACCATAGCAGAGAGTTGGATCGAAGTGGAGCAGCCGGGACTCAAACAGGTGCCCTTATGCGATGCCAGCACTGCAGTTGACGGCTTTACCTACTCCACCACAGCGCTGGCCCCAATAAATAAATCTTTCAAGAGAAAATAAAAAGTGTATGTTGAATCCAATATTCACAAAGAGATGTATCAATGAATAATCCAGTGAAGCTTCCAGATCACATGATTTACTCAATCTTGAGATGCCTTCACCTTTTAGGGATTCTAGTTCCACCTGCAACTAGTTTTGGTCTACAGTCATGTCCTGTGCAGATAACACTTTCCATTTGTACATGGTTTTTTTTTAATGCAGATTATTTCTGTTTATTAAGAATTATCATGAGAACCATAGACATAGTGAAAAACTGTACCAGAGCACTAAGGAAACATAGAAAAAAAGCAGAAGATAGAATAATCAGAGGTGGTGAAAATGATGGGTTAAGGGATCCTATCCATACTCTGGTTTCTCTTCAGATCCTATAAATCTTTCGCCTTTCACTAAAGGATCCCATCCAAAAACCTCATCCATGGCCTGCCAAGAGAAAAGGGAAAGTATAAGGCCCTCTACTGTGTCAGACAAATTAAAAATTTCAAAACGATAAGATGAACTCAGATTCTCAATAAAATGTGAAACCAGATCCTGGCCCTAGTCAGTTCCAAACCTGGAAAATACACACGTACTACAGTGAATTCGCTAACCTCAGAAGCAAGTCTGTATCTGAGGGACTGTTATCAGTCACTGTCTTCATCATGTCAAAGTTCAGAGAGATGACAATTTACCTGTTATTTCTGAATCTAAAAACCACATGTAATGGGAATAGAAATACTGTTGACTTCTGGGGAGTATACAAACTGAGAATCAGAAGCCCTAGAGTTTTGGTTTTCCTCTGGTAACTATTTGGGCCAATTTCCCTTGAGTCTTAGCCAATAAAATTATCTATATTTGTCTTAAAGGAGGGCTCTGAAACAGGAGAATGGGTTTGAGGATTAGAGCCTTATTTCAAAGGTGCTGAGAAAATAATCAAAGTTGATATTTTAAATACGGATGGCCAGGTTCATTCTTTGAGTAGTAAGGGTCTAGGCATTATTTTCTTTGTTCTTGTTTAAAAGTTCTTCAAGCGTTTCTGATACCCAATCAAGTCTGGAAACAAAACCACAGTAATCTATGCATTCTCAATCTCTGGGAAAGCAGATCATAAAGTTCTATTTGATTTTAAGCACAGCTTTGAAAATTTTTCAAATTCTGCTTAAATGGGGCCTTTTTGAAAAAAAAGAAAAAAAAAGCTCAGTATCTTGAATAAGTGTTACTATAAATGGAATGTGATTTTTTCTGCTCAGAATACTTCCTCACTACATAACTACTTGTATCCAAAAGCACAAAAATATTTCAACCTTTGTTTCCTGCATGGTTGACAAACCATGGGAATAAACAAACTTCCCCAGGAAGGAGAACCTCTCTGATAGAGGCCTTCTAACTTGGCCAACAATGAAACAGAGTTTGAAATACATCATTTCCACGAGTCTCATTCTTCCTCATATCTCCAAATACTGGAGTTCTTCTCTTTTTATTCTAAACTACTTGTTCTTCAAGAATTCTCTCTACATCTGTAAAACTGAACAACATATGATTGGAACTGTGTGGTAAAAATCCCTGTAAGTTGTTACATCTTATTATTTGAAGTCAAACACTGACTTTGGATGTTGCCCTTCCTGAGTTTAAAAAAGCTGATGGGGGCTGGCGCTGTAGCATAGTGGGTAAAGATGCTGACTGCAGTGCCGGCATCCCATAAGGGCACTGGTTTGAGTCCCAGCTGCTCCACTTCTGATCCAGCTCTCTGCTATGGCTTGGGAAAGCAGTGGAAGATGGCCCAAGTCCTTAGGCCCCTACACCCACGTGGGAGACCCAGAAGTAGCTCCTGGCTCCTGGTGTTGGATGGGCCCAGCTCCAACCACTGCGGCCACTTGGAAAGCGAATCAGCGGATGGAAGACTTCTCTTTCTGTCTCTCTGTAACTCTAACCTTCAAATAAATAAATAAATCTTAAAAGAAAAAATGCTGATGAAAACAGTAATATTTTTCTTACCTGAAGTAATCAACAACCATACTGAGTGTCTTGAACAGCTCCGAGGGCTTCTTTCACATAATTAAGACAAGGGCAGGAGCCACATTCTATTGCCTGATTTCTAACAAGGCTGAAAGAATAGTCGTGCATTACCTAACGACTGGCTGAATTCTGAGAAAGTCTGTGTGAGGAGACTTTGTTGTGAGAACACAGGACCTTCTGACAGCACACCAAGATGGCCGTGATGCCATTACATGAAACCTTACAGCTCAGTCATCACGGAAACCTCGCAGGGTGGGTGACTGTATATCTGAGAACTAAACAGAACTGTGTATCTTTCCAGAAAAGTCTGCTCCAATATATCCTTTGTGATGCAAACTCTTCATTTCAAGAAAGCTCTGAAATGACTCATCTCTTCAACATTCACAAACCTCCTAAGCAAGGCGCTACGCTGATTGTATGAGCGTAAACATCCCTGGGATGTTAGACACTCACAAACTGTTGGCTACAGTCTAGAACGTGGCAAAGAAAACTTGTGAGTAGAGAAGGAACAAGGCCACGGAAGAGCCACTCTGCTGGCCACGCGGCCCGGGGTGGCAGTGACCCACCTCCAGCTGATGCAGTAGCGCTTTCCCTTTCTTGTTGATTTCTACCATCAGTGTAAATATGGCAACCTTGATGTCCTGTTCCACTTGCTTCTGGTTTTGATTCACTTCGATGATTCTGCAAATTAAATTAATTGGGGGTGAAACATCTACAATTTAAGGCAATTTTTATTTCCCATACTTAAAATTGATGCTTTAATGTCTAAATTAGACCAACATGTTTTCAGCTCTTAAAAAGCTCCTAAGAATCCTCCAGTTTAAAAGGACATTTTGAAGATCACAAATAAAATTCTTCTGAATTAAGTATTCATATAATTCAATCTTACATTCAAAATATATAAAATTGGAAAAAAGCCTATTAAAATAATATAGCTTGAAAGACACCCAGTAAAATAAAAGGAGTAAGAGAGAAGGGGAGACTACAAAAAGGACTTGAAAAAGATAAACCATGATTCTAAACAAGTTCTGTTGTATTTACACAAATGTGTGAATGTGACTCATGACCAAACAGTATTCGCTATACCTGACTAAAAGGCAAAAAGACAGTAGTACTTTGCTACTTAATACATTTATCTTGAAATAACTCAAAAAAGCTCCATCGTCCCTGCTGTTTCTCCATAGTTATTCTCCAAAACTTATGACAAAAAGTACAAATATTATCCTGTTGAAAATTCTTCAGCATAATTTTCTGACAAGATTAATGCTTTGACAATATTACTATCAGATCAAGAAAACCAGCCGGACCCCAGAAGTAATCTATTTCCAAAAACTCATTCAAATCTTCACAGTGGGAGAATGGGATAAGGGACAAACAATGACAGGCTTGCAAATGCATACAAATGAATTAATAGCAAAGTTGGGAAATTTAATCCTTTAACAGTCAGGTAGGTTATAAGAGGATATAAACAATTACTACCTACTAAGGAAGATTCTCTAATTTCCATCACAATTCAGAAACCAATTGTTTCTCAACAACAATGTTATTGTTTTGTGAAAACAGCACAAATTACAAAAACTGAAAAATAACAAATTGGAGAACTCATCCTAGCTAAGATTTAATACAAAAATTTACAATGATCATGAAAGTAGAATACTGGCAAAAAGCACACACAAAGTACAAGTATCCACAAATAAATCCACACTTAAACAGTCAATGGTTAATTCCTTCTATTTTTTTTTTAAACAGAAGCATCAAGGTAATTCAATTGAAACAGTATAATTGTTGCAACAAATGGTATTGGGAAAAACAGACATCAATATGTAAAAAAAGCTGAACCTTGACCAAGAGCTCATACCCTAAATACAATAAAAGGCCAAATAGCCATCTGTAAATGTCATTACACAAGGTTATTTTACTTAAAGCTTAATAGTTAGCAATGGACATTTTTACCATTTAACAATGAATACTTTTGCCAATAGATATTATCTCTTTCAATTAACATTCATTATAAAATTTCAATTACTGAATCAAAAATGTTATATCCCACCAATTATTCTATTTGGCAAAATATACTCTACTGAATAGAATATGGTAAAGGAAAAAGTATTTGATTAACAATAGCTATTATGTGAAAAATAAAGGTTAGAAAAATGAGAACTGATAAAGGAAGAGTAAGAGAAACTTGAAGACATACAATACAATGCAGAATAATGACTAGACTGATATCCCAACACTAGAACAACAAGAAAGGGTTATCTTCCATTTTAAGAATCTCTTTTGGGGCCAGCACTGTGGCGCAGTGGATAAAGCTGCCGTCTGAGCAGCAAGCATCCCACACTGGCACCAGTTCAAGTCCCAGCTGCTCTACTTCCGATCCAGCTCCCTGCTAATGTGGCTGGGAAAGCTGCAGAAGAAGGTCTGAGTCTTTGGGCCCCTGCACCCATGTGGGAGACCCTGAAGAAGCTCCTGATACCCGGCTTCAGATGGCCCAACTGTGAACTTTGTGGCTATATGGGGGGAAGCCAGTGGATGGAAGATCTCTCTCTCTCTTTCTCTGCCTCCCTGTAACTCTGACTTTCAAATACATAAATCTTAGAAAAAAAATAAAAATAAAAAAGGAATTAGCAGGGGAAGAAGTCAAGTGCTCCACTCCTCACTATGTCCCAGAATGAATTATGAAGACTGATCTTGGACAAGATGAACCTCAGCTAACACGGTTTTCCTGGCAACTGAAACCCCTGCAAAGCTGCTTTTGTGTGGGCTCTTCCCTAGACAAAGTCAGGCTTTTGTATGCAAAGCAACCAAAGAAAGAGGACGGAATGAAATGTGCCCCCAAGTGGTTTTTACAATGTGGATTATGCCACATTCCTGCTTTGCTACCCAATCACAGAATTCTCATCAGACAAGGAATTTAAAGTGAACAGCTCAACAATCCCTGACTCCTGGTGTCTCTCTGCAATTAGAAGATCATCACAGCTCAGGCACTGTAAATTTCAGCAAACCATATAGTATCAATTAGCTATATATTTGTTAAAATAGTGTTTAATACTGGCAAAAATGGCTTTAAGATCATGGGGTTTCCTTAAAATTAGACAAGACCAGATAATCATAAATTATCAGTACGAACCAGTTAAATGAGCTATTACTAATGGTAGCTTATCATCAATTTTTATGGTTGAAAAAATTCTTCCCAACTCAAAGTTTCTAGAAAAGTCTTTTCAACCATATATTATTAGTCATCTCATAGCTTAGCACTTCACAGTCAGTTAAAAATAATTCTACTCTAAAAGTAAATACACTTGACACATATGAAAATATAGTAGTAGGCATAAAAATTTACCTGTTTTGGATCTGATTTCCTGTAAATTTTATATATTTTGTCTTTTCCATCAGTTTGGTGATTAATGTGTCTATTATCACTTTCTGGTTCTGAAAAGCTTCTTCTATAAATTGGTATCTGAAGAAATAATAAGCAAATTACTTAAATATTTGTATAAAATAAAAGTAGAGAAATGATTTTTGAAAAGATACAAAAACAACATCAAAATTTTTTAAATACCAAATATAACCCTCAAGGCAGGCTTTCCAAACTTCCTCACAAATTATTCCTCAAACAAAAAGTCAATTTAACAGATGTAGTAACTATTTTTAACATTTTTTACATCATTTTAACAGACGTATTAACTATTTTTCGTTTTGTAACCGTGAACATTTACTGTAAACATACATTTTAAAGATCATTTGTAGGCCGGCGCCGCGGCTCACTAGGCTAATCCTCCGCCTGGCGGCGCTGGCACCCCGGGTTCTAGTCCCGGTCGGGGCGCCGGATTCTGTCCCGGTTGCCCCTCTTCCAGGCCAGCCCTCTGCTGTGGCCAGGGAGTGCAGTGGAGGATGGCCCAGGTGCTTGGGCCCTGCACCCCATGGGAGACCAGGAAAAGCACCTGGCTCCTGGCTCCTGCCATCGGATCAGCGCGGTGCGCCGGCCGCAGCGCGCCGGCCGCGGCGGCCATTGGAGGGTGAACCAACGGCAAAGGAAGACCTTTCTCTCTGTCTCTCTCTCTCACTGTCCACTCTGCCTGTCAAAAAAAAATAAAAAAAAAATAAAAAAAAATAAAAAAAAAAGATCATTTGTAGTTACTTTAGAAAGGTCTTGAACATATGCCTTCAGGATAAATGGAGAAAGAAAAAGCCAAACTCTTGATGTCATGCCTTGTTTGGTAAAGGTTTAAAAATATGATTACAACAAACAGCACTCTAAAAAAGGTGAAGACCCACTTGGGATGCCCCATCCCACCCAGGAGTGTCTGGGTTCAGCTGTCTGCTTTGCTCCCAGTGTACTCTGGGAAGCAGCAGATGGTGGTCCATGAACTTGGTTCCCTGCCAAGTGAACAGTTTAACAACCCCAGTCTCCTGCTGGGGAGACTTGGATGAGTGGGTATTTGGAGGAGTAAAAAAAAACTCAGAGATTGCTGTCTGTCTGATTTTCAAATAAAATAAATTTACATAAAATTTTAAGTTTGGGGCTTTCATGGCACAGCAGGTTAAGCCACCACCTGCAATGCCAGTCCCAGTTGCTCTACATCCGATTCCCTGCTAATGTGCCAGAGAAAGCATTGGAAGATGGACCAAGTGCTTGGTCCCCCGTAAGCCATGTGGGAGACCTCTGGCATTCCACTGAGGTCCTGCTTCGGCGAGACTCAGCTCCAGCCACTGTGGTCCTTCGGGAGTGAAAAGATCTCCCATCTGCTGGTGCAGTCTCCAGCGTCCCCAACAGCTGGGAAGGGACCAGGCTGAAGCCTGGGTTTCCCAGGTGTATGGCAAGGACCCCAAGTCATCACCTGATGCCTGCAAAGTGAAAATTAGCAGGAATCTGGAGTCAAAAATGGAGTGGATATGTGAACCCAGGCACTCCATATGGTGTGCTGATTCCTCAACTGGTGATGTTATTGCTGTGCAAAACACTCAACCTTGTCTAAGTGCAATTTAATGAGTAAGTATTGTAAGTACGGTTACACTCAGAACAGGGACACACAGTTAAGAATTTCATTGGGTTTTCTTTGTATATAATCAAGTCATCTATACAATAACACTTTAAATTTTAGGTTTTAAAATCTCAAATATGGGTCATAAGTATACATTTATTTAAAATTTTGTTTGAGAGGCAGAGACATAAACAAAGGAAGTTACCATCTGCTGTTACATTCCCCAGTGCCTGCAATAGCCACAGCTGGCTTGAGGCTAAAGCCAAGAACTCAGGGGAGGTCTCCTAGGGGAGTAGCAGGAACCCAGTTTCTTGGGCCACCTCTCTCCAGATTCCGCACAGGCAGGAACGTGGAGTCAGAAGCATGCACGAGGAATCAAACCTGGTTACTCTTGAGATGTGGGATACAGGCACTAAACACTAATGCCTACATTTTTTACTGTTTCTTCCAAAAACAAACAAACAAACAAACAAACAAAAAATTTCTTTATTTGAAAGGCAGAGAGAGAGAGATCTTCTATGTGGCTTCATCTGTGTCTCTCACATGGACTTGGGCCATCTTCCACTGTTTTTCCAGGCCACTAACAGGGAGCTGATTAGGCAGCCGAGCAACCAGAATGGAAACTGACGCCCATATTGGGTGCTGGTGGTGCTTAACCTGGTATGCCACAACACAAGCTCCCTTCTTCTGCCTCTACTGAGATGGTTGTATCAATTTTCCGTTATTCTTTTAATATAATATTAATGACATTTAACATCAACGACTTTGATTATTTTATGCCTAAGGCCACCCTGGTTGTGGTTAGTTTTCCAAAAGTGGTAATATTAATGTGTTTAAGTTTCTTATTTCTTAGAAATTATACATTGAATTCACGGATGAACTCAGCCTGTAATTTTCCATATCTATTATTCCCTCTCAGTTTCTGGTGTCTGGGTTATGCTGGAGTCATAAGACAGGCTGGAGATAATTCATTCTACTATTCTCCAGACATGTTTGTATAATTTATGTAAACTATTTTATGGATTCATTAGTGAAGTCATTTGGGTCTACAGTTTTTCTATTTGTGGTATACAAATTGCACATACTTCATATACACAGATTTACAAACACAGTGCTCCTCCCCCACCTCCCGCCCACACTCCCACCCTTCCTCCTCCTCCTCTCCTATTCTTACTCTTAATGTTTACAAAAATCTATTTTCAGTTTTGCGGCTTTCTTTGTGGGAAAGTTTTAAATTATGGATTTACATTTTAAAACTATTAGTTTCAATAAAAGTTTATTTTCTAAAGTGTCATCATTTTATGTAAAAATTTTCAAAGAACTGACAGCTTTCATTTTTATCTTAACTACAGAGTGCATAGTGATGCCCAGCGTTGGCTACGGCTACGTGGGCTTGCTCTCTCTCCCTGAACCCTTCACAAAGCGATCTGCTCCTTCCCCTGCGCCGTTTCTGGCTCTGACTGAAATGCATTTGTCTTTACTACATCCCATTTTTAAGCCCACTTTGGATTTGATTTGCTGCCTTTCCTAACTTGAGATCAATGTTTACTGTTAACTTTTTATCCTTATTATCTAAATATTTAAAGATATAAATTTCCCTCTCTTCATAGTCTTAGCTATAAATCTTAAGGTCTGATTAATATATGGTATTTTTGATATCCTTCAAGTCAAAATAACTTGAAATATCCACAGGAATTTCTTGGACCATTTAATTAACTGCTTAACTGTGAACTAACCACAAAGTTAAATTTGAAAGAGTACAGATTTCACATACATCTTTTATACATATTAATTGGTTTTCAAATTCACCATTATTATCATAGGCCTCTAACCAACTTAGTAGTTTCGTGTACATTTTCTACTAACAAGAATGGTCTCCTATATTGTAACAGTGGCTATTAAAATCAAGAAAACTGAGATTGATTAAATCTGGTCATCTACAGACAATATTCCAATTACATCATCTGTCTCACTGTCTTCTATGTAATTTTCCCCCGTAGTCTAGGAGACAGCCCAAGATCACACATCAGTACATTTAGTTTTTTATGAATTTCATACCTTCATTTCTAAATATATGGTATTTTTCTCATATTTTCTAGATCAATTACACTGTTATTATACAAGTTATTAAACTGAATTTCAATCATTTGGTCAGCATGTGGTTAAACACCTTGGGGCTGTAAAGAATGGGTCCGCTCAGGCAGTGTTCCAGTAGTTCTGTAAGACCCAATACTATTTCTGTTATTTAAATCTCAGTGACATATCTATATTGATTTTTAGCCTACTTATTTTGTCAATTACTGGGTAATGTTGAAATTTTCAACTTTAGGGACCAGCGTTTTGGCCTACAGGGTGAATCTGCCACCTGCAGCAATGACATCCCATATGGGCGCTGGTTCGAGTCCTGGTTGCTCCACTTTCAATTCAGCTCTCTGATAACAGCCTGGGAAAAGCAGCGGAAGATGGCCCAAGTGCTCAGGTCCCTGCCACCTATGTGGGAGTATGGACTAGATGTTTTCCAATAGTATTTGAAAATTCTCACCGATTAGATTTGTCTGGAAAGACTGCTTGATTCCCTAGTTTCCTTCTTTGGTATACATTTGCATCCAATCTAAATCGTCTCTTTCTTGCTCATCTCTTCTACTTCCCACCCTACTGTTTGCCACACTTCATTCTGAATATTTCTTTGATCATATTCATTTTCATTTCCTGATATATCAAGTCTGCTTTTAAACCTTTTACTGAGATACTTTCACTTATATACATTCCACTTCATTTTGTTTTATAGCATTCATTCTCCATCGAAATGTTCTTCAACATCTTTAATATGGTAAGATGCACTTCGTGACTTTAACACTACTTGTTTCATTCGTATCATCTATTCTCCTAACATATCTGGTTATTTCTAGTTGTGCTGACTACAGATTCACAAAATTCACTGTTGAATAAATGCAGTCTAGGATGGTTCCTTTCTCAAGGGAGAATTTACATTTGATCTACCAGGTACCCTGGGGCACCTGAAACATGATTCCACTTTAATCTAACCTCAGGCGACTTCAGGCCTTGTAACTACTTACTAGGCAATTCACTCTGAATATAATAATGTAGACTTTCAGGGTCCCAACTTAAGATTAGGTGAATCTTTCCTTCTTAAAATCCTTGAGCTCTAATCCCTGACTTCTCAGCCCCGAGAGCTTAACAGAGTATTCCTTGAGTAACCAGCGCTGTGGCATAGTGGGTAAAGCTGCCACTTGCAGCTCCAGCATCCCACATGGATGCTGGTTTGAGTCCCAGCTGCTCCACTTCTGATCCAGCTCTCTGCTAAGGCCTGGGAAAGCAGTGGAAGATGGCCCAGGTGCTTGGGCCCCTGCACCCATGTGGGAGGCTCAGAAGAAGCTCCTGGCTGCTGGCTTCAGACTGGCGCAGCTCCAGCAATTGAGGTCATCTGGGGAGTGAACCCATGGAACCCAGTGAACCCACGCCTCTCTCTCTCTCTCTCTCTCTCTCTCTCTCTCTGTAAAATCTGCCTTTCAAGTAAATAAATCTTTAGAAAAAAAAAAGTCTTCCTATTCTCTTGACAAGTCTCTAGGCAGGCGAAGTATCATTTTCTAACCCCACTCTTGGCCCAACAATTGTTAACTATATTAGCTCTAAAATCTCATGTAGATGTTTTCTATATTTTGTCCAGGTTTTCTAGATGTCCTTACTGGTAATGCTTGACTCAAATTATCTAATCTGCCACTATTCAAAGACTCGACCATTCTAAGCAACGGTGTTCATCAGTTTACATGAATCTTACTGTTAAAATAAGTGATTGTTAACTGAAATGCCTAGGAAGTCACATTTAAAAATAAATGTAAAATCTTCTCATTTTACAACGATGGCAACTAATTCCAGGTATTTTAGACTAGATTTTGGGCCAGCGGTTCTCTGGAGACATTTCTGAGTTGTAACAACTCAGGGAGGGGAGGGACAGTGCTACTGGCATCTAGTTGGTAGAGGTCAAAGATAATGCTAACCACCGTAAAAGGCACTGAACAGTGCTCTACAACACAAAGAACTCGCTAGCCCCAGCTCTATTTCACGAGTCGAGAAGCTCTGGTGTAGGCCAAGTTAAGATGACGCAGACTGCCCTCTGGCTGGAGTGGCAACGAGCCTCCACTCCTCCCATGCTGTGTACATAGGAAAGACGCTGTACCTATGCTCTTTATGTTCTAACAGCTGGCAGTCCCGACATGTCAGCTTGTCACATGTCTCACAGTAAAGCTTCAACTGCTCCTTTTTATGAAAAGGACAAAACACTGGCCGCTGACTGGTCACACCAACTGCCTCTGTAGAAACAATGGGAGGCAAAGAGAAAAACATTAACACAACAGAAAAATAAATATTAGATCGCCCACTGGAATTCAATATCACTGATACAAAAGAACTACCCATGGTTTATTTCTACACCATAACTACCACTAGATGTCAGATATGAAAAAAGTAAGTATTTGAAGAAAAGGTAAGTAAACTTTTCACTTTCCAATTCAGGAAGAAATGAAAGGGCCAATATGTGATTAGAAAGACGTTTTATGGAATAACAAGTCTTACAAAAATATACTTTATAAGTGAATATGAACCACTTGGATGTTTTCTAAATCCCAAATATGGAAGGAGTTTATTTCTGATTTAAAATGTATCAAAGGAATAATAAATATTTCATTATCCTACTTTCCAAAAATCCTAACAGAATACTCATTAACAAAGAAATAATCATAATGTTTTACTATTACACTAGTTTCCCATGTGATTTCACAACTTTTGTAATACGAAGATAAAACTAGGAAATGCTTATATTACTATGTTAAGTGGAACAAACCAGAATACAAATAAATGTAATGACTGATTAAACATCAAACATCTATTAACTCACTAATAATTAAAACAAAACCCAACCGCTTCAGAAATAATCCCATTTCCAGAGAAAACTTATTAACAACCTAGTGTCTTCCTCTGGATGCCTGTTATGTGTACAACTACATTTAGTACAAGAAAACGCTAAAAAAGTTCATGGAAAAATGGAATTAAGATAAAAGTTATTTTGGTACAAAACAGTTTGAAATCCATGTCTAGTTTCTCGTAACATTCATTTCCATAATTTTTAAAAAGTATTTATTGATTTTGATTTATTTGAAAGAGCAACAGAGCAAGGAGAGGAGAGGATGAAAGAGGGAAAAATCTTCCATCTCCTGGTTCACTAACCGAATGCCATGCTGGGAAACAGCTGGGGATGGGCCAGGCCAAAAGCACATGGGTGGCGGGGACCCAGGGCGTGCAAAACTGGGAGCTCTTTCAGGAGCCACGTAAGACTTGAACCCAGACACTTTAATATGGGATGCATGTACCCCAAGCGGTGGTTTAGCAGTCCCACCACAATGCCCATCTTAAACTTCAATTCAATTATTTAAAACATTTTTTTATTTATTGGAGAGGCAGAGAGACAAAGAGCAAGACACAGCACATCCTTTCACTGGTCGCTCCCCAAAGCCTGTCCTGTCACAGCCAGGGCTGGGCTCAGACTACAGGGGGGGATATACAATTCATGTCTCCCAAATTACATAAACTAACACTACTGTCTCCCAGGATCTACCTTGCCAGGAAGCTGCAGTCAGGAACTAGAACCAGCAATAAAACCCAGATACTCTGATGTGGGAATGCAGGTATCTTAACTGCTAGGCCAAATACCCACTACTCATTCCATAAACTTCAAAAAAATTGTTTTTAGGGTTTATCTGAAAGCCACAGGGGAAGACAGAAATCTCCTACCCACTGACGTAATCCTTAAATGCCCACAGAAACAGGGGCTGCACAAAGTCAGGAGCTGGGAACACAGCCCAGGTCTTCCACATGGGTAGGCAGGGACTCAAGTCATTATTGGCTGTTTCCTCCAGTGCACTTTAACTGGAAGCTGGAAGGGGTGGAGCCAGGACTCAACACAGGCACCCTGCTGAGGGGTGCAGGTACCCTAACTGCTGCATCAAATGCCTGCCTCTCCTCCCAGAAGCTTTTTGGAGACCCTCCATAGGCTTGACCAAAATAAACTTATCTTTTAATTCCATTCACAGTAACTTTTTGAAGTATCCTCATATAGAACAGGACTTTATTTAATAAAATAAAAATGGGGCCGGCGCCGCGGCTCACTAGGCTAATCCTCCGCCTAGAGGCGCCGGCACACCGGGTTCTAGTCCCGGTCGGGGCGCCGGATTCTGTCCCGGTTGCCCCTCTTCCAGGCCAGCTCTCTGCTGTGGCCCGGGAGTGCAGTGGAGGATGGCCCAGGTGCTTGGGCCCTGCACCCCATGGGAGACCAGGAAAAGCACCTGGCTCCTGGCTCCTGCCTTCGGATCAGCGCGGTGCGCCGGCCGCAGCGCACCGGCCGCGGCGGCCATTGGAGGGTGAACCAACGGCAAAGGAAGACCTTTCTCTCTGTCTCTCTCTCTCACTGTCCACTCTGCCTGTCAAAAAAAATAAATAAATAAAATAAAATAAAATAAAAATGGCACTACACATACTGTCTTAAAAATGCTTTTCTCACATATTTTAGAAACCTTTATGGGATAGTAAACATATTCACCTTATTTTTATTTGTTATCTGTATAATATTCCATCAAATGGATGCACCAGTAGATGTTTGGAAGTTTCTCAATTTAACACTGTGTAATAATACTGAAATGAACATGAAACTTATGATTTAAATATTTCCATGAGACAATTCCTAGTGATAGAAGTTTTGGCTCAAAGGGCAATTTATACAGAAACATTAAATGGTCCTCTAAAAATGGTACCAATTTTTACTTCTACCTATTAACAGGGTATTTAATATTAAATCTTTCTCATTTTCTTAAGCACAAAGAGAGCCTACACTAATAATAGAGATCAAACACCTTTTCAGAGTCATCAACTATTTGTATTTCTTTTAAAGAAATATCTGCAGGGCCAGCACTGGGGTGTGACTGGTAGAGCTGCCACCTGCAGTTCTAGTATTCCTTATGGGCACTGGTTCAAGTCCTGGCTGCTCCACGTCTGATCCAGCTCCATGCTAATGCGCCTGGGAAAGCAGCAGAGGATGGCCCAAATCACTGGGCCCCTTCACCCAAGTGCAAGACCCAGAAGAAGCTCGTGCTCCCTGGCTAAGGCCTGGCCCAGCCCTGGCATGGCCATTTCAGCGATTTCCAGTGTAACCAGCAAGAGATGAAATCTGTTAAAGCATCTGCTACTGATCTCTACCATTTTTCTGCCCAGTTCTGTTACTGACTTGAATGCATATTTGACACACTGTCTGCCAAAAATTAGGAAAATTTTAGGAATTCTTTGCCTACTTTGACTTTGGCTTATTGTATTTTTTTCCCCTAAAAAGACATTTTATGGCTTTAGTTTTGAGAACTGTTTCTAGAAAAGTTACACAAATATATTTTTCCTCATTGGTGTATTTTTGTAGGTTTTTACTTCAAATTTTTAATTCACATAAAATTTACTTCCGTGTAGTAGTCACAATCCTTACAAAAATCCTAATTGTGTACCAGCAAGGAGAATGCGTTAACAGGCTCACATTTTCTGATCATAATAAAATGGTAAAGTAGAAAACTGTAAAGTAGAAAACAAAACAAACCAAAGCACTTATTCTTTAAAAGAATTTTTGGGGCCATAATAATCAGACTGGTGAGCAACTTGACTGTATACTGTCTACACATCTGCCAAAGCAGAAAACAGGCAAACACACACAAAATCTCATAAATCTCAACTACTTGGTAACCGTAAATGCAGAATCAAGCTTTAAACCCTTATAATTCAAAGAAAGAAAAAAAAGGCATTCTGCTCTGTGAAGATAACAGGACCTATACCCTTAAGTATGCCTGAGACAAGTTGGTTTGGGCCCACGGCCAAGAAATAATAACAGTGCTTCTTTCTTCTCTAGACAGAACATATGTAACCGGCTTATAGTCTATTGACTGAAGAATTTAAATTGATTCATAGTCATAATCATCATGGATGATTTAGAAGATCAAATAAATTATCTTATTAAGACAAACCAGAGGCTGGCGCCGTGGCTCACTTGGCTAATCCTCCGCCTGCAGCGCCGGCACCCCGGTTCTAGTCCCAGTTGCTCCTCTTTCAGTCAGCTCTCTGCTGTGGCCCAGGAGGGCAGTGGAGGATGGCCCAAGTGATTGGGCCCCTGCACCCACATGGGGAGACCAGGAAGAAGCACCTGGCTCCTGGCTACGGATCGGCTTAGTTCCGGCTGTAGTGGCCATTTGGGAGGTGAACCAACGGAAGGAAGACCTTTCTCTCTGTTTATAACTCTACCTCCTTTTAAAAAAAAAAAAAAACAGACCTGTGCTTCAATTCAGCTACCTATTCCATGGCCACACACTAGAATTTCGTCATCCATAATTGTTCCATTTGAAAATCATAATTTCAGAGATCACGTTGTGTGCAGGTTAAGCTGCCACCTATAATGCCAGCATCCAATCGGTGACAGTTCAAGTCTCAGCTTCTCCATTTCCAACCCAGCTCTCCCAGCAGGTAGGCCAGGAAAGCAGTGAAAGATGGCTAAAGTCCTTGGGCCCCAGCTACTCAAATAGCAGACCTGGATTGTGTTTCAGTCTCCTGACCTCGGCCTGGTCCAGCCCCCACTGTTGCAGCTGTTTGGGAGAGTGAATCAGCAGATGAATATCCCTTTCTCCCCCTCTCCCTACTCTCTTGAATGAATGAATCTTTAAAAACAAAATCACAAATTCAAACATAACACTCTCGTAACTTGAAAGACAATCTTCCAGTTCTTAGTTACTACCTCATTGTAGCTCATTGGAATCTCTGCTCTCTAACCATTTTTTTCATCCTATCAGTCAACACCCTCTATTTCCTTTCTTATCCAGTCATCTGAAAGATCCTTCAACATGCCCCTCGAATTTCTGTAACATCTGTCTAGCTAAACCCCAACCTTACGTATCGCCAACTCTTCTCTACACCCTCAAATTGCTGAGACATGATGGAAGAAGTTTTATGGCATACACTGCTAATGTAACCTTGATGCTACTAAGCAATCCTGTTTCCATAGCGTAACTCCGTTTCAACTGGAGTTATCTGGCCTCCAACATAAACTTTCAACTCTGAGGCTGGCACTCTTTCCATGTGCTCCATGTCTATTTGTTTACAGTCACATTAGCCTGTAAATCCTGTAAGAATTATCTGAATTATGCACCTTTTCATCCCTAGGACTTAGCAAACTTCCTGGAACCAAGAGTAGGTGCACAAAGGAAAAGCAGCAGTGGGGCCAGAGTGGCATGGCCATTGTGGATCATTTGTGGAGTGAACCAGTGAGCAGAAGAACCCTTTTCCTGTCACTCACTCTGCCGTTCTTAAGAAGTAAAATAATTTTTAAAGAAAAATACGGCCGGCGCCGCGGCTCACTAGGCTAATCCTCCGCCTTGCGGCGCCGGCACACTGGGTTCTAGTGCCGGTCGGGGCACCGGATTCTGTCCCGGTTGCCCCTCTTCCAGGCCAGCTCTCTGCTGTGGCCCAGGAGTGCAGTGGAGGATGGCCCAAGTGCTTGGGCCCTGCACCCCATGGGAGACCAGGAGAAGTACCTGGCTCCTGCCATCGGATCAGCATGGTGCGCCGGCCGTGGCGGCCATTGGAGGGTGAACCAACGGCAAAGGAAGACCTTTCTCTGTCTCTCTCTCTCACTGTCCACTCTGCCTGTCCAAAAAAAAAAAAAAAAAAAAATACAATAAGTCATAAAATGAAGTTCTACTACATGCTATGACATGGATAAACCCTTAAAATACCACACCACATAAAATAAGCCAAACATCAAAGGACAAATATATAATTTCACTTGTATGAAATATCTAGAACAAGCAAAATTACCAAGACAGAACTAAGAGCTTTCTAGGGGCTATTGGGGGAAGGAATGATAATTATTACTTAATGGGCAAAGGGATGCTGATTGGGTGATGAAAAAAGTGTTGCAAACAGATAGTAGGGACAGTTGCTTAAGATTGCAAATACGATCAATGCCACTGAATTGTACACTTAAAAATGGTCAAAATTATAAACTTTGGTTTATTTGGGTAAAGTATGTTCTTAGGGAACTTTACATTAAAAGCAACAAAATAAAAACCCAGAAACCATAATTACATAAAAAGAAAAGATTCTTGGGGATGGCGCTGTGGGTAAAGTAGTGGGTAAAGCCACTGCCTGCGGTGCCAGCATCCCATATAGGCACTGGTTCAAGTCCTGGCTGCTCCTCTTCCCATCCAGCTCTTTGCTATGACCTGGGAAAGTAGCAGAATATGGCCCAACTCCTTGGACCCTGCACCCTCTGTGGGAGACGCTCCTGGCTTTGGATCAGCACAGCTCTGGCCGTTGCGGCCAATTGGGAAGTGCACCGGTAGATGGAAGACCCCTCTCTCTCTCTCTCTCTCTCTCTCTCTCTCTCTCTGCCTCTCCTGTCTGTGCAACTCTTTGAAATAAATAATTAAATCTCAAATAAATAAATAAATAAAGCAGATTCTCTGGTTGTCTATCAGATAAACATGAAGCAGGCTTATTAATTCCAAGGGCATCAGAAGGAGAAGGAAGAGAGTTCTAAACCTTTAAACCCATTATTTGCCACCCTAAACAATAATGTAGAAAAAAGAAAAACTAGTTTAAAAAATTTCTTTATGGGCTGGCACTGTGGTACAGCAGGTTTAACTGCTGTTGGAAGCACTAGCATCCCATATGGGTGCCAGCTTAATTCCCAGCTACTCCACCTTGACTCCAGATTCCTGCTAATTTGCCTGGGAAGGCAGCAGAGGACTGCCTAAGTGATTGGGGCCCTGCACCCATGTGGGAGACCTCATTGAATCTCCTGGCATTGGCCTGGCCCAGCCCTGGCCAATGTGGCCATTTAGGGAGTAAATCAGGGGTTGGAAGATTTCTCTTTCTGTTTCTTCCCCTCTCTGTAATTTTACCTTTGAAATAAAATAAATCTTAAATTTTTTTTGCTACATTTACGCCAATGTAAGACATTTACAGGAGCAGGAAGGCTGTATGAAGTATGAATGTAAGGCAGAGGATATGATTAGTGCCTCCCCACATTTCTAAGGATTTGTACTTCAGGTGTTTTAAAAAAACAACAGTGCATGTACTGCTTGTAAGTGTATCAAAGCAAGTCAATACCCAAAGACTGAAACAGAAAGAACTTCTGTTACCTGGAGATACTTCCTCCTTCTGTCTGACAGTGTGGTCTTTCGTGAACTTCACCCTCTGATGAGCTCTTATACATGTTTTGCACAGCCATTCAACACACTCTACACAAAATCCATTAGCTTCCGCATTGTCCTCACAGCTGGTACACACCTAATAAGAAATGTGTCACGTAAGTTTTCCAGAAAAATGAAAAACTTAACATACCATTAACCAGACATAAACGGTATACCTACCATAATGGATTATAATCAGTTATCATCTTCATAGTGTTTGTAAATTTAAACTGATAATTGTGCATTGAATTATAAACGTAAGAAATGGAATTCTGCACCAGCAAGAATGTAAGTACCTTTTCTCCTCAGTCCACACACTAACTCACCCAGGCACTACGCCAGGCTTGAGGATACACGCACTCATGAGAGGCAGTGCGGACTGAAATTCCATTTTCCCTACTTACAAGCGGAGTACTCTTGGGCTGGATACTTGGAGTATTTATCCTTAACACAAGATGTCATGAGTAGTTGTGAAGATTAAATGTGTGGCAGACACATATCATTGGAATAATCACACTAATAATTATAAACTAAAAAGTCTATAAGAAAGAAAATGTTGGAGAGGTTGTTTTAGTGGGGTTTGAAGGATGGGAAAGGCTTTTCCCAAGACCAGATCAGCATCCGATATTAAAGTTGAATCACCACGTACTTGATGAACAGCCTCCTAGGCAGAGCACGGCATACACGAGAAGCCCCAGGCCACAAGAGGACAGGACAGGCCCAGAACTCTGGAAGAAATCAGGTACAACTGAAGCGAGAGGTGAGGGGCGAGAGAGGGCGCTGGGGGACAGCGAGCAGGGTCCAGATGAGGGAGGGTCACAAGTGGTCTCTGTCTGAAGCAACCTATGGCAAGGCACGTTTGGATTTCAGTATCACTATTGCTGCAGTGTAGAAAACAGATTAGGCAGCACATTTTTAGAGAGGCAAGTGACGCTTGTAAGGGACAGAAATTCTGTGAACGTACCTTATTCTATAGATTTCACTTGGGTACTACATGAATGTTTTCTATGTAGTTGTAAAAACTTAAAAATCTCTAAACACAAAAACAAAATGAAACAATACTGCCTACCAAATGGATGGCTTAACCACAAATACAAAAGTTATGCTTTTCAAGCAAATTTAAAACATTATGGTAGTGGATGTTTGGTCTAATGGTTTACTGAAGTGGCAGGATGCCAATACAAAACCTTGGGACCTTGGCAAGCAGGGGTGATACCGCAAGCAGTTACACTGCTGGCATCCTTGTGGGAAACGTGGACCGAGTTCAGCTCCCAGGTTACTGCACGCATTTGGGGAGTGAGCCAGAAGACGGAGGCTAAAATACCAAACGCATGATGATTTGATTGACTATCTCTAGTGCTCACATGTAGCCATGCTTTGTAGCTTTCCATTCTGACAAACACACGATACAACTCTCTCAGCTCTAACTCGAATCTTCCTTACTTTCTGTTATTCTGCATGCCCATGTATGCAAGGTCTTCCAAAAGTTCATGGAATTCATGTACAATGAAAAACCTACGTAAGCCGGCACCACGGCTCACTAGGCTAATCATCCGCCTGCGGCGCCGGCACACCGGGTTCTAGTCCCGGTCGGGGCGCCGGATTCTGTCCTGGTTGCCCCTCTTCCAGGCCAGCTCTCTGCTATGGCCCAGGAGTGCAGTGGAGGATGGCCCAAGTGCTTGGGCTCTGCATCTTATGGGAGACCAGGAGAAGTACCTGGCTCCTGCCATTGGATCAGCGTGGTGCGCCGGCCGTGGCAGCCATTGGAGAGTGAACCAACGGCAAAGGAAGACCTTTCTCTCTGTCCACTCTGCCTGTCCAAAAAAAACAAAACAAAACAAAACAAAAACAAAAAAACACCCTACGTATAGACTTGAAACTATTTTTGCATCCTTGTATGACTTACAAGTTGCTGTTGTTAGCTTCTAGCAATAGTGGTACTAAAGGGAAACAACAAATTCAGAAAGAATGGACTTGACTTTTTTTTTCCATTTTTAAGATTTTATTTATTTATTTGAGAGGCAGAGTTACACAGAGAGGGATAGACAGAGAGAAAGGTCTTCTGTCCACTGGTACACTCCTCAAATAGCCACAACGGCTATCCATCCAATGCCAGGAGCCAGGAGCTTCCTCTGGGTCTCCCATGCAGGAGCAGGGGCCCAAGCACTTGGGTCATCTTCTACTGCTTTCCCTGGCCAAGAGAGCTGGATCAGAAGAGGAACAGCGGGTACACGAACTGGCACCCATTTGGAATGCCAGCACCATGGGCGAAGGTGTAGCCTACTGCAGCACAGCGCGGGACCATGGATGTGATCTTTCTGAACAGATTCCTGTCTGCCTCCTACTCCCGGCAACCTCTGTCATCACCCCAGTATTGTTTTACCCCAGCAACAGCAGCCCCTTCCTAGAGCCAACAGTTCTATTTATAGTCTTCCCAATACTTGCAGAACCAGATTTATTGCAAACCACTACCAGTACAAGAGGCCTCAGTATCTCAGCTAAATGCGCAGATCTCAGCGCCAGCCAAGCTGCATCTCCACCTCTTCCAACCTTTTGCCTCTGTTCTCTTTGCTACCTCCTAACATTGCTACCGCTATGATACCATAAGAATTTTCTTTCTATCTTTTGAGAAAACTTTATATCTAGTTAACAACTCTTAGTTTTAAGATTGAAAGTGTCGGGGCTGTGGCACACCAGGTAAAGCCACTGCCTGCAGTGCCAGCATCCCATATGGGCGCTGGTTTGAGTCCTGGCTGCTCCACTTCCGATACAGCTCTGTACAATGGCCTGGGAAGGCAGTAGAAGATGGCCAAATTCTTGGGCCCCTGCACCTGTGTGGGAGACCCAGAAGAAGCTCCTGGCTTCAGATCGGCGCAGCTCTGGCCATTGCAGCCATTTGGGGAGTGAACCAGCAGGTGGAAGGCCTCTCTCTCTCTCTCTCTCTGCCTCTCCTCCTCTCTCTGTGTAACTGTGACTTTCAAGTAAAATAAATAAATTAAAAAAAAAAAAAAAAAAGAATGAAAGTGTTGTCTGACTACATTAAAACTTACATGCCCTATAATACATGAGACATAATAAAGCACTGAGTCATTTATTTAAGAAGCAAGAGGGCCAGCATTGTGGTGCAGCTGGTACATTTGTCGACTGCATTGCAGACATCCCATTTGGGCACCAGTTCCTGTCTTGGCCACTCCACTTCTGATCCAACTCCCTGCTAATGATCTGGGAAAGCAGAAGATGGCCCAAGTGTGTAGGCCCCTTCACCCAAGTGGGAGACCTGTATGGAGCTCCTGGCTCCTGGCTTTGGCCTAGCTCAGTCCTGGCAATTGTGGCTATGCCGAGAGTGAATCAACAGATAGATGATCTGTCTCTTCTTTTTCTCTCTCTCTGCAACTCTTACAAATAAACAAATCTTTATTAAAAAAAAAAAAAAATAGAAAACAAGACTTCCAGCATGGGAAAGAGATATAAATATAAACTCAAAGAGTAGACAGAATTCTAAATTGAACTAGAAATGTCGATTTTCATATTTTGATAAAAGTAATTTGCTTCATCACCTTCTGCAAGGTCTATAATCAATCTGATGGTGATGAGCACCCATGGTGCCACTACACCATTTCTGTTCCTTAGTTTCACAGCAATTAAACTGTATCCTCCACAGAAAGTCCTGCTTTGGTCTATGATTAAAGTTTGAATTAGAAAGACCTGTGGATACTTTTGAGACAATAAACACAGGTATTTAGGTAGAAGTGGCCATGTCCATTTACAATGAATGCTAGGGGCAGGTGTGCAGCGCCGCAGTTAAGTCACTGCTCACATCTGCACCCCTATCAGAGTGCCTGGTTTAAGCCCAAGCTTCTCAGCTTTTAATCAGGCTTCCTGTGAATGTGCACTCTGGAATGATGGCTCAAGTACTTGGGTCCCTGCTACCCATGTGAGAATGACAGCAGTTCCAGGTTCCTGGCTTTAGCCTTTCCCAGTTCTGGTTGTTGCAGGCATTTGGGTAGTAAACCCACAGATGGAGAACCTCTCTCTCTGCCTTACTGGCTATCAAATAAAAATAAATTTTCAAAATATTTTAAGTGAAGCTACATTCCTGTTCCTTCAAAAAATACAAAGTTGGAAATGAGACAAAAAGGTATAAAGATTAACCATGCATATTAGAAATGTCTTGATAAGTAGAGCTAATAATAAAATCACTTTCCCCTTGGCAGATTCAGTTCCTCTCCAGATCTTCTGCTCCAAGTTAAAAAGAGCTGCCTCGGCCGGCGCCGCGGCTCACTAGGCTAATCCTCCGCCTAGCCGCGCCGGCACACTGGGTTCTAGTCCCGGTCGGGGCGCCGGATTCTGTCCCGGTTGCCCCTCTTCCAGGCCAGCCCTCTGCTATGGCCAGGGAGTGCAGTGGAGGATGGCCCAGGTGCTTGGGCCCTGCACCCCATGGGAGACCAGGAAAAGCACCTGGCTCCTGGCTCCTGCCATCGGATCAGCGCAGTGCGCCGGCCGCGGCGGCCATTGGAGGGTGAACCAACGGCAAAAGGAAGACCTTTCTCTCTGTCTCTCTCTCTCACTGTCCACTCTGCCTGTAAAAAAAAAAAAAAAAAAAAAAAAGAGCTGCCTCGAGAAAGCATTGATGAGTCACGACCCACAAGCACACCGATACACCCTATCCAGTGCACACTGTAGAATTACTCTCCCGATCATTCCAAGGACCCAACATCTAGATTTAGGAAGCCAACAGACATGTCCTACGTGTGAATAGCCCAAGTTGGAAAGAAAAGAAATTGATTAATTCAACATCCTGGACACTGCTATCAAATGAGATTTTTCAGAGTAATACACCATATGGAAAAGAAGACTTTCGTAAAAATGTAGAAACCTATGTATCAAAGACGTGCTGCTTTTCATATGTATCATTATAGAGTTTTTCACTAAAAGAGAGAAAAAGGTCAACAGAAGAATGTAACTGCCAGGGGCCGGCGCTGTGGCGCAGCGGGTTACGCCGTTAACGCCCTGGCCTGCAGCGCCGGCATCCCATATGGGCCTGAGTGCAAGTCCCGGCTGCTCCTCTTCTGATCCAGCTCTCTGCTATGGCCTGGGAAAGCAGTAGAAGATGGCCCAAGTCCTTGGGCCCCTGCACCCACGTGGGAGACCCAGAAGAAGCTCCTGGCTCCTGGCTTTGGATCAGCACAGCTCTGGCTGTTGCGGCTATCTGGGGAGAGAATCAGCGGATGGAAGACCTCTTTTTCTGTCTCTACCTCCTTCTGTAATTCTTTCAAATCAATAAAATCAATCTTTAAAAAAAAAAAAAAAGAATCTAATTGTCAACACACAAAAAATAAAGAAATGAAATAATGTCAAATACAGAATAATGGTTCTCTGTGGAGGACAGGCAAGGTGGAGATGCAATCAGAGACGTCCATACTGGCACTGTTGTATCTGTCACTACCATGTATGTACTGTGTAGAATACTACATAATTCCATTACACAGCAGTCTGATGTCTGACACCAGCAGTCTAAGATGCCTCATCAAGAGGCGGCAAAGGTACAGCTTCATTCACTTACCTGATTAGACTTTTCGACCGTGCTGCTGGGGACCTCAGTAGTGTCCTTCACGAAAAAATTGTCTATGATATGTCTCTCAGCACATTCCTGGCTGCAAACTGGGCATCGGATAACTCCAACTGGGAAAAACAAAATCACATCCTAAGTTTTAATACAAAATGCTAAGTACTAAACAAATGCATCCATCAAATTGTAACTTGGGCTCTTTACAATGTCTACTCATTAAATAAGCAACTCAGTTTATGTGCACACAAAATATATTAAATGGAGCATAAATCCTCCATTTTAAATTACATGCCCTCTCCCCCAGAAACTACATTTTTCCAACAGTGGTTTTCAAACAAGGATGTATAGAACCACATAGGAGCCGGCGCAGTGGCTCAATAGGCTAATCCTCCGCCTTGCAGTGCAAGGCACACCAGGTTCTAGTCCTGGTTGCCCCTCTTCCAGGCCAGCTCTCTGCTGTGGCCCGGGAGTGCAGTGGAGGATGGCCCAAGTCCTTGGGCCCTGCACCCTATGGGGGACCAGGAGAAGCACCTGGCTCCTGCCTTCAGATTAGTGCGGTGCGCCGGCCGCAGCGGCCATTGGAGGGTGAACCAACGGCAAAAGGAAGACCTTTCTCTCTCTCTCTCTCTCACTGTCCACTCTGCTTGTCAAAAAAAAAAAAAAAGAAAGAAAGAAAGAAAGAAAGAAAGAAAGAAAGAAAGAAAGAAAGAAAGAACGAACGAAAGAAAGAACGAACCACATAGGAGAACCAGAATCGCTGGTTCTTTTTAGACCTATTGTCTCAGGATTTCTGTAAGCAGAGAACAGACATACTCATTTTGCTTAAAATCTCCACAAAAAAAGATAAATATTCCTTTGAGAAAAGAACTCTATCCTAGCACTTAGTAAAACAAGAAATAATTATGAATGAATTAAAAACCTAAGATAAACTTGATAGTGTACATTATACCAAGACTTACAAAAAGCTCTCAGATACCAGTGAAATGCACAAGAACAAGCGCAATGTAATCCAAAGCACAAATTCATTTGTAACATATTCAAGCAACAAACAAAAAGATACACTGGAAAAAAAATCATTGTGGTATATATACACAATGGAATATCATTCTGTCTTTAAAAATTATTTAAAATCTTTTTAATTAGAAAACTTAAAGAAAAGCAGAAAATTCTACTGTCATTTCCAACAGGGATATACTTGGAGGACACTTAATTGAAATAAACCAGGTACAGAGACAAACACTGGATGCCCTCATTATGTAGAAGCGTACGGCTGATCTCACAGAAACAGACAGTAGAATGGGGAAGGAGATGCCTTTCCGGTGGTGGCAGCTGTGAGAAGCTGAGCTGAGCATAAACCAAAGTGTCCTGTGCAGCGGGAACGGCCACGCCTCCCCAGCCCCATAAAGCACCTGATCAGTTCCTGTAGCAAAGGCAGCTGGTGGAACTTCTTCACCACCCTGTCTGCCTTGTGTTCAAGAACAATCCCCAAGAGACTGAGTTCACACTGGCCTCATGGATTTCACTTTGGCAAGTGAGCCAAAGAACCTGGCGTTAACATATTCCTGGCAACCAGGAAGGGATCTGCAGAGGGATTATTTCCCTTTGGGGAAGATGAGGGTGCAGGATGGACTGATGGCTATCCTCCTCTTGCAGGAAATGAGCAGATGGCTGAACCTCTGCCTCAGCATCTCTGTGGTGCCTTCCTTCCTGGGATCTCAGTTCTCCTCACTCAAACTATCTTTCTTTCTATCCTCTATGCCACCCTGTTAACTCATCTTGCTCAGTTTTTGTTTTTACTTTAAACCATCTTAAAAGATCTGTATGGGGGGCTGGTGCTGCAGCACAGTAGGTTAAAGCCCCAGCCTGCAGTGCAGGCATCCCATAGGGGAGCCAGTTCAAGTCCCAGTAGCTCCTCTTCCGATCCAGCTCTCTGCAATGGCCTGGGAAATCAGTAGAAGATGGCCCAAGTCCTTGGGCCCCTGCACCTGCATGGGAGACCCAGAAGAAGCTCCTGGCTTTGGATCAACTCAGCTCCGACCACTGCAGTCATTTGGGGAGTGAACCAACGAAATGGAACTTTTCCCTCTGGATCTACCTCTCTGTAACGATCTTTCAAATAAATAAAATAAATCTTAAAAAAAAAAAAATCTGTGTGGGATGTGTTGAAATGACAGCCTCCTGCCTTACAGGACATCCAGGTGGGACAGACTGAAAGGGCAGGTTCCCAGGACTCATCAGCACCAGCAGGTGGCCAGCAGGTTACACAGCTTCACCAGCTTCTGACTCCTGGAGCTGCAGTTTTGGGCTTTGCTTTAATCCTTTCTGAAAACTCCTCTCAGACTGCATGTTTTTATTAGAAGATCTTGCTTCCCAGGACATGATCACATTCCTGTCCACCAACCCCAGCTCCCCCTAATCACAAGGGTGGAGTTTACCTCCAAGCCACATGAATTCAAACAAGTGGACAGCGCCTGACAGCCACCACGGAGCAGCTGGTGCACAGCCACAGAGGCATCTCTGAGGTCTTTCGTCCTGATCCTTTCAAACCCAGTACCTCTGCTTCTGTCCTTTCACTTTCTTCCCCACTTTTATCTGTAGACAGATCAGAAGCCGGAGGTTCAGTACTAACGGACAGCTGCCCAGTCACGTGGATTAATTACAACCAGTCCCTGGACGCCTAAAATTTAGGGCCTATCCAGAGACTGTTGGCCTACGTTTCAAAAACAGACTCTTTGTGACTCAAGGATGGCCCAGCTGCCTGAGAGCAGTAGCTGCCACTGCCTTACTGGTCAAATGGGCCTCTACACTCATGGTGGGACAACCCACAGAGGTTCAACCACCCCATCAGGTGCACACAGTTTTAGAGATCAAAAGACTTCATTAGTTAACAGGAGGAAGACTAACTAAATACCAAGACTTTGTGTTAGACACTCCTAGATACGACATTAAAGGTCAGAACTGGCCACTCTCCTCCCAGCCACAGATGACTACAGAACAAACCCACCCCAGCAGGCCTGATCGCTGGGAGGAGCCCCTCGAGAGCCTGGATGCTGAGTGGCACACTGATGGAGGGCAGGCTATGCTAGGGTGAGTTTGCCTGCAGAGAGGTGGTGACACTCCCACCCCAAACCCCAGCCCAAAAGGCAGAAATGGTTGCCCTGACTCAGGCTTTGCAACTGGGAGAAGTAAAGCCATCAATATTTACAAAAACTTCAGATAAGACATGCCCATACCACTCTATGGAAGGAAAGGCAACTGTTAATGGTCAACACTTCGTTAAGAATGAGGACCTAATTTTAGAGGTGGTCATTCACTGTGAGTGCCACCTAAAGGATGGGGCCATTGGGAAGCAGGGAAACAATTAGGCAGACAAACAATCAACAGATGTCTCACAAGTCACTAGCCCTAATGATAGAGCCTTCCTTCCAAGCTTCCTGGCCGTGCCTGGTATGTCTAACAAGAATATGAGGCAGCCATAAGACTGGGATTTGGAGCGCAGGATACCAGACGGTTCATCATAAAACAATAAGGTTCTTATCCCAGCACAAACCAGTGAAGCTTATTAAACACCTCCACAATGAGCCATCATGGGAGATACCAAGTGGAAACTAGTCCATTGAGTCAGAAAGACCATAGAGCATAGATCCTCTCCTGCAAATGTGTGCCTGTGATAATTCCAACAACCATCCTCTTTTACCTTCATTGACAAAACTAATCCAACACAGAGGGATATAACCCCAAGAGAAGAGAGGCAGATGGGTTTAATTCAAATGCCCCTCAGATCAGGATGCAAGTACCTTCAGGTATCCCTGAACAACTACCTTCACAGGCCAAGTGGAGGCATTCCCTGTCTGCACGGAGAAAGCAACAGGTGAGTAAATTCCCCTTAAGGAAAACAAGCACTCCTTCTGGATTTCCCTAATCCCGAGAGTGATGTGGGCTTTCCTTTGTAGCGAATGTTACCCAGACCCTCTGGATCTCCCTAGGAATACTGTAGGTTACATGTCTCCTCTCTCCCTCTCCCTCTCCTTTTCTCTCTCTCTCTCTCTCAGGACGCGACTGCTGGGTGTCCTACTAGCTGGCCACAAAGTGTTAGCAAAAAAATTTTTTAATTTATTTCACAGAGTTAGACAGTGAGAGACACAGAGAAAGGTCTTCCTTCCATTGGTTCACCCCCCAAATGGCCGCTATGGCCAGAGCTATGCCAATCCGAAGCCAGGAGCCAGGTGCTTCTCCTGGTCTCCCATGCGGGTACAGGGGCCCAAGCACCTGGGCCATCCTCCACTGCCTTCCCGGGCCACAGCAGAGAGCTGGACTGGAAGAGGAGCAACTGGGACTAGAACCCGGCGCCCATATGGGATGCCGATGCTGCAGGTGGAGGATTAACCAAGTGAGCCACAAGGCCGGCCCCAGCAAAAATCTTTACAATACTGTCAGAAAGCTCAGCAGGATGGAGTGGCTAATTCCTAAAGATACACAAAAGAATGGTGCAAAACAAGCTCCTAACTCCATCTCCCTATTAGATTTACAAATGTATAAAACCTTTCCCTAATCTGCCAGTGTGTTGGAAAAAAATTTTAAAAACTATGCTACAACATCTGTCCAAATCATCCATTTATCTTGACCCGCAATTCCACACATACGTTGCTCTAATAAACTTTTTTATAAAGATGTATTTATTTATTTGAAAGTCAGAGTTACACAGAGAAAGAAGGCAAGGCAGAGAGAGGTCCTCCATGCGCTAGTTCACTCCCCAAATGGCCACAACGGCTGGAGCTGCGCCATACTGGAGCCAGGAGCTTCTTTCGGGTCTCCCATGTGGGTGCAGGGGCCCAAGGACTTGGGCCATCTTACACTGCCTTCCCAGGCCATAGCAAAGAGCTGGATCGGAAGTGGAGCAGCCAGGACCTGAACCGGCGCCCACATGGGATGCTGGCATTGTAGGTGGCGGCCTTACCCACTATGCCACAGCGCCAGCCCCAAACTTTTCTTATAGAGCTTCCAGAGCATCTGATCAATTTGACAGTGTCACATATTGGTGGAGCTGAGATTTGAACTCAAACACTAGAGTCCATACCTATATATACCCTAGAAGTCATACCGTATAATAATT